TGCAAGTTGGTCTTTTGTGCTCCTGTTGTGAGATTTCAGCATAGTACATTTGGATTTTAGAAACATGAACTGAAACAATAGTATGTTCTGTGATTTCTCAGTACCACAATGGCTTGTGGCAGCACCTGAACCAGAAAACACAATGCATCATAGTATTAAGGCCAGTACAGTGGTACCTCGGCTCACGAACGCTTTAGTTCACGACCAGATTGGGTCACGAACAAAAATTTCATAAAAATGTTAACTCAGCTCGTGAACTTTGCATTGGGTGGCGACCATGATCGCAGCCGTCTCCCCATCCCCCTAGTGGGGAGATGGCTGCGATCATGCTGGGGGCAGGGGAGATCTGTGTTGTTCTTTGTCACTTTGCTTCACATTTTTCTGATTAAAAAAAAAAAAAGTTACAGAACGGATTAACCTTATTTACATTGAACCTTATGGGGAAATCTAATTTGGCTCATGACCATTTTGGGTCACAACCAGAGTCCTGGAACGGATTAAGTTCGTGAGCCAAAATACCACTGTATCTTGGTAAAAACAGCCCATTGTCACTCTTGCCAAATGGCTTGCCAGAAATGCCATGGATAGATGCCATTTGCTACATGTGTGAGAGGTCTCCACACGCTATCTACCTCCTGCCATAAAGATTTTTTTTTTTTTTTGTGGGGGCAGGAGCAGGTGATCAGCTGGTTGACATTAGGAAAGGAGCAGTACCACTCAGTTGATTTCCCTGCCACCCTTCCCACAATTGGGGGCTCTGTGCCTCAGCAGATTCCCCCTCTGTCAGCCTTCTCCTAGGTGAGTGGGAGAGTTGATTGGGCAGGGGCACCAAGCTGGGAGCTACAAGCCCCAGCAAATTCCTCCTCTGCTCCCCCCCCACCAGTTCTTGCTTCCACCTCACAAAGAGGCACTGCCAACCCTTACTGCCACCTTACTTGGCCCTTGGCTACCCCTTTAGCACTCCTTCAGAGACATATCTGTCCCCCTCATACCTTCACTGGAGTCTTAACAAAAGAAAGTAGTTCCTCACCCTTTTCCCCCTGAAAGAGGGGCTCAGTGTAAAGCATATACAGAAATGGAAGATATAAAGACAATGTTTTCAAATGAGGGCCAGAATTTCCATATAATATTTAAACCTTTAAAGAAAGGATTAATAAATCAGGAGGAAGGAATAGAACAGGCATTCTGAAATTTGAACAGTGAATTGAGAAAATTTAATCTTGCCAAGAGCAAATAAAAAAGTTAAAGAAATTAGATGAAATGTACAGAGAATGTAAGCATGTTACTAAGAGGACAGAGAAGATACAGTCAGAGGGAAATCTTACAGAATCAGCAATATAAATGCTAGTTCCGAGTTCAATTACATTGGAACATAGTTGAAAGACACCTGTAAAGTTAAATGTAGTACTGAATAGTGACATTGTTGAGCAAGCACCCTGTAAATCAACAAAGCTAATATTTAAAAAAAAAATCAGATGGTAGCATTTTGATTACAGAGGGAAAAATCCCACACCCAGAGTAAAATATGAGTAACTGTCCAGACCTGAAAGCGGAAGAGATCTTGAGCTTACCTGCTGTCTGTTTCAGTAAACATATATCTTTAGGAATTAAACAGAAAGCTAATTTAACTGGTGTTGATCAAGCGCAAAGGCTCCAGGGAAAGATTTATACTCTGCAGTGGAAGTTTTCAGAGCTGAAACTTAGCATTACATTAACACATACCAAATACCTCCAATTTCAAGGTCCACATTTCCAGTTGTAGGCAAGGTAGATACAGAAGCTGATGAGGGCGTCCCACTTTCACCTTCGCTATGCATGCCCTTTTCTTTCAACCCTCCTTGAAAATCATCCCCACCATATCCTGTTCCTGAATCTGTAAAAGGGCGAAAGATTTATGCAATCTGAAGAGAAACCAGAGTATCCCCTGAATCTGTATATGAGAATTGCCCTGACGAAAATTCAGATTTGGACAAATCATTTAATGCCTCTGCATCCTGCTCTCTGAGGATATGTCCATGACAACTTTCTCATGGTCTGACCTGCTCCACGGCAATGCAGGAGCATAAGGCTATGTGGCCCTTTTAAAGATTGCATGCAGTCCTTATGGGGCGGGGGCAGAGCAGGGAATGGGGTGAACAATTCAGACCTTTGCTAGCCTCTGGAATTTGTCATGATTATGGCAGTGACTGAATTGTTATATCTTGATTTACTTGATTTACTTTCCTTGATTGACTTTGACCTGACTTGTTTGGCAGGATCTGAGAGCCAGTGTGCTGTAGTGGTTAAGAATGTGGAACTGGGAGTCAAGTGATCTGGGTTCTAGTCCCCACTTGCTGAGTGGGAAAGCTTGATGGGTGACTCTGGATCAGTCATAGACTCCCAACCCAACCTACCTCATAGGGTTGTTGTTGTGAGGATAAAATTGAAAAGGCAATTATGTAAGCTGTCTTGAGTTCCTTGAAAGGAAAAAAGGTGGAGTATAAATATAGATAAATAGCTTACCTTAGCTTGACTTACTCCTTATTGTAGCTTGACTGACTCTAGCCCGGGGTCAGCAACCTTTAACACTCAAAGAGCCATTTGGATCCGTTTCCCATACAAAAAAAAAAACACAGGGAGCCGCAAAACCCTTTTGACATATAAAATGAAGACAACACATTTATATATTGTTTTTTACCTTAATGCTATGTATATCTTCATTATGATTTAGCTGCAGCTCTTGTTCAGTCACTAAAAACTGTTATTTTTAATCTTACACTATAAACTAGTAGGACTCCTTTCATATATTTTGAACAGCTTCCTGAAGAGTCAAAATCAGTGCTAAAGGGCTGCATGCATTAAACAGCAAACCCCATAAGTTCGTCAGCAGTAAAAGCAAGTGAATCTACCCAGGTATCATTAAATGTTTGGTTTTCTTCAGAAACTTTTCTTCAATTTATCCATGGTTGGCCTACCAGGGGAAGTTGCAGATATAGGTGTGTTTAGTGACTGATTAGCAGATAAACAGTCAAGTGATGTGAATTGTGACAGGTCCCAAGCACAGCTTTTATCATTCAGAGGAAGGAGATTACATTTGGACAAAGAGAATCTTTTCAGCAGCGGGGTTTTCTTGTAACATGAGAGCCTGCAGGAAGTTTGGTCCACTCTTTCCCTGCAATGTCGCAATTTATTTGACCTGCTAGCACAGCGTTCCTGAGTGGATGCCTCATCATCACCTATTGGTATTTTGTAACTTGGAGCCTTGGTCGCAGATCGGCAGCTGTGATGTGTATTTGGGCGATGGAACCGCCGCGGAGGGATTCAAGAGTCACATGTGGCTCCGGAGCCGCGGGTTGCTGACCCCTGCTCTAGCCTGAATCTGTTCAGCTAAGTGTATCTATTTGTATGCTCCAATCCCTGATAAAATAGGAGACCCTGTGCAGCAACCTCCTTAAAATTCTCTTGAAAATTCTGTCTCTCCCTAGAAAAAGCATTTGTAGAGGAACCAGAAATCAGTATATAATTCAAGTGCAGATGAATTGAGCAATTTATTGTTGAATGGATTAACAGTTGGTGATGTATCAGATTAAACAGATATTTTCTACAAAGCATTTTGTTGTATATTGTTTATACCTAATTTATCATTTAATTCTATATTATTTCCTATATTTTAATACTAAAAGGGAAAAGAAAATGCCCTCTATTGTTATACACCATCCAAACTACCCTCCTTGTATAGCAATTAGGTTTAGCCAAATTGGCCTTCAATATTTCCTCCAAAAGATTTTAATAGAGCTGAGACTCTTCAGATCCAAAGAGGGGCTCTTACTGCCTAAAGAAAATATCTTGTTGGAGCCCATGAGCTATGGAATGACTGCTCAGTGAATGGACAATCAGTACAGAAATATGCCACTGCTGGCAAGCTGACAGGTTGCATCTCTCAAATACCTTCCTCTCCCAGAATTGCTCATTTCATATGAAACCATTGCATCTGTATGTACACTAAACTGACCACCTGTTCCTCAAGTGGGTAGGGTCCCAAAGTGCATTTCCTAATGTTTCTTGATTACCTCAGATATTAACATGCATCTCTTTGCCAACTCTGGAAAGACACAGGGTTGTTCTCCTTACTGTTTGCATGATCAACAGAAGGGCCACTTTGAGCCATTTCACACCACTAAAAATGCATCTCTGGTTTGGAAATATATATATAATACGGATAGATCCATAAGATATTCAGAATTGGCTAACACTCCCTGTTGTTATGCTCAAGTAGCGAAGTGGGGTTCTCTACCATATATGTAGGATGGCCCACATATATTTAGTCTGAGGACAGTTTTACTCAAAAGTTTTAATAATTTGCATAAACCATAATATAGAAGTACTGTATACCCTTTTCAAATATGTTTATATAAAATTTTTAATGTCAGCATTGTTATGCAGGTGCTTTATAAATTTGTTAAATCCATAGTAAGCTTCTGGTTGTGGGGCACACACCTCACCCACATACACACACATGTGCAGACGCACACACATGTCCATGTTTCTGATTCAGATGCCTTTCCTTGCTGCCGTGAAGGGTAGGGAAGGGTCTGTAGAGAAAGGAGTGAAAGAACTGGAGACAAGGAAAGTGACAGCAGGAAATGCAGTGGCAGAGGGGATCAGGGCACCTGGGGAGAGCTGCAGGAAAGGCCATGGGAGGCACACGTACCTGCCAGGGAGCGCCCTCCAGTTTCTAAACTACTATAAATACATGGGTGAGATGGAGCAAATTGGACTAGAAAAGTTAGTGTTTAGTGTTAGAACATGATCTGGATAAAAGGATGTGAAAATTCCTTTTATCCTGTGAAAATTCTGTGACAAATGAAAAATGGGAATCAGGAGCTCTCAGCACTGACAGAGGACTATATTGTGACATATGTTGTGATTATGCTAATTATCTGGGATAAATCTGCACAGAAGGAAATGGCACACTATAAGGGAAATATTTCCATTGAAATATTTTGTTCTTTCGTTTACAGGGCAATTATACTGGCCTCATTTTCTATCATGAAGGATGGCCACTGTGCATCCATGAGAAAGTCATAGTCCAGTTGGCACCTCTCCACAAAGTCCGTTTAAAGCCAGGGGATTTTTATTTCCAGGTTGTGCCCTTGGGAAAGCAGTCTGCTAAACTAGTATTAAAATGTCTCTCCAGACATGGGCATGGAATGGAAGAACTTCTTGTACCTGAAACCATGTACAGACATATTTTCACAACCAAGTTTTTGGAAAATGTAAATGGTGAATGGAAGGACTGTCCTTTGCAAAGCTGTTTGCTGACAACAGGCCCAGCTATATATAGGACACCTTGGAAAAATATTGTGAATCCTATTTTTATTCCTACAGCTGAAACAATTCGAAAAAAATATTCCAGTAACTCTTTGCCAGAAAAGTTAATCAGCAACAATCCTGATGCTGAAGCTATGACACCAACGATGGAAAGTAGCAGCTCACCTGAAAGCTCTACTTTTAATGATACCTGTTCTACTGTGAGAGAGATACTACTTGCAGATAACAGTGGAAATCATAGCAAGGATTATTCTGGTCTATGTCACAAGCCTGAAAACAAGGCTGAAATACAAAGCTCAGAAACCCTAGCTGAGGAAATGGGTGATGATATACATTCAAGAACACTTCCTGAAAGATGCCAACATATAGATTCTATTGCAGAGGAAGTCATCAAGGAGCCAAAAACAATATTTGAATTGACTCCTGCCCTTCCTAAACACAATGTGTCAACTCCTCCCCTAGTGAAAAGGAACAGTGCCAAAAGCATAGCTTTCAGTGCAGGCCTGAGCAGCCCAAAGCAAAGAGGGAGGGATTCTTTGTATTTTGAAACAAAACGATTGTTTAGAAAATCATACATAGAAGCTTTGCAAAACCCAATGATCCTGGGTTCCAGTTCTGAAGAATCCATCACACAAGAAGATCCTTCAGAGAATGAAACAGGCTTGGGCCAAGTGAGTGATGATCCCAGAGTCACTGAGAAAACACATGAAAACAATGTTCAACAAGAAAGCTGTTGGTTTGAAAGTCATTCAAAACAAGAGGAAGCAAGGGATGAGACCATTAAATTTGGGGATTGTTCCCAGACTTCTGAAAGATCCCCTGTATCTCAAAAAACCCCTCCAACAACAGATTGCTGTTCAGAGTCAAGAAGATCTTGCTCTTTAGATAGGACGCATAAGAACTTGCAGTCCAAACATTGTCAACCTGTTATGTTCTCACATGGAGTATTCAGTGCAAATACATCCAAAATAATAAATGGGCATTCTGAAAAGCTGGAGAAACTGGATTCACATGTTCATGAATTAACTTCTACCAAAAGCAAAGAGGATGAAGGTAAAGTTGATGCCTCATTGCATGTTGCTTAGTAAGCTAGTTTAAATAATTCTAAGCTGTAGGCCTCTATCACTTCATATTGCTTTAGAAAGGCAGATGCTATTGATATACATTTATTGGAGTGTGTCTCTCTCTTACTTTCTTTCAGTGGATATCCTCCTGTGCTAAGAGGGCAAGGAAGCTTTTGTGGGTCTGAATTAAGTAATGCCTTAATGCATTGCAGCAGCGTAATATATGAACTTAGACAATAAAAGAATAGCTTCAGAGCAATCCATCAGAAACTGGCTTATTCAGAAGTTTAAAGTCGTCATAGATTAGGGATGGACAGCAGTGTCCAGACCTTTTGGCCTACAACTGGAATCAGCTCTATGCAGCATAGCTAATGTTGAGACATGAACTGTTGGTCAGAGCATATGGAAGGCCACAAGTTTCCACCCATGCCATAAATACAGTCCTGTAAGTTGGAAAACCAGTGGAATTTTGCTCAGTTAACTACACTGAACTGTACATGAGACTTGGAACCACTTAACACATGACTTTTTGCCTTCACAGGCATTCTAGTTATGTGCCATCAAGTCATCTCTGACTTAAGGCATCCCTGTGAATGAACTGCCCTGCAGACTGTTCTTTCCATGATAGCCCTGCACAGTGCTTATAAACTCACTAGGGAAAGCTGGTCTTCTCCTGTGAGTATTGCCTACTCATGATGTGCCCAAGGTACAACAGCTTCAGTTTTCTCAGTTTTGCTTTTAGGGAAAGTTCTGGTTTGATTTGATGTAAGTCCGATTTCTTTGTCTTTCTGTTAGATCAAGGAATTCACAAAGTTGTCTTCTTCCAATCAGCTTTCTTCACTGTCTAGTTTTCACACCTATACATATGATCAGGCATACAGTACTATGGATGATCTTTGTTTTGGTCTCAAATGAAATGCCATTCAACTTCACAGACCTAATGGGATATGTCCATCTGTACAATTCACAAGCATTAGAGCATTTGTGCCTTTTTAGTTACAAATATATGTATTTTTGTACAATATCTTCAGCACTGATTGAGCAGACTAGCAATCCAAAACTAGTGCAAATAAATAAAAATATATTACAGTAAGAAGCTAGGACTGATTATGGATTCTCTTTTGTGCGCTCACAATAACACAGAAATGTGCATGCTGATCAAGGATGATGGGTATGTATATACATTTTCCTTGCATCCATATATGCCTGTATTGATATCATACAGAGTACAGCACAGCCCTCAGCTATATCTAATGTTCTCTGGAACAAAAGTTAAATTGATGTATTGATGATGATATATAATAGTCACTTCTTTCCATTTCCTATGCTTACGTTGTCCTTTAAATATTCAAAAATTTTCACATGTACTCAATTTACATAAGAAATTGATTTGATCCTGTAAAACTGCTGATCATTAATGTTATGTTATGCTCTATTGAGGTGCAGTCAAAAAACTATTGTAGACTAAGGTTATGCCCTTAATAATATTTACTCTGAAGTAATCTCCATTAAAATCAAAAAGAATTATTGCTGTGTGAACAAACTTTAGGCATATCCAATAAATTATGCACAGATAGTCATGACTGCACACCAATTCATATTAAGGTTGCATGACAAAGACTACAGCACTTGATATTTTTTTGCTTGCTATAGTCGTGAAGTAGTCATGTTGCCCTCCACAATGTTTTTCACAGATGCATGCCTTTGAGAATATGTGAGAAGCAGCAGTGGCAAAATCTGCAATCTGAAGTAAATCTCACAACATGAAGTTTTTACAACCTGTAGCATTGGGCTCAAGCTGAACAGGCGGTTCATTATTATTTCAACAGAACATTAATAAGTAACCTATGAAGGAAAAGGAATTGTCTGTAGATGGAGAATTTTGCTTAAAGCCCATAGTTAACAATAGGATTTTATAGTCTCTCAAAAAACAGCTTTGTGGTGGTGATAGTGATGATGATGACCACAGTGTCTGAGTGTGGTTTTCTAGCATCTACTTTTTCTGTTCCCATTTGATAAGAATAGAAACAGAAAAAAGGTAAATTGTCTATGAATGTTTATATATAAGATTTAAGGCTTAGATGGTCTCAGATCATCTAGTCCTGGGGCTACAGTGATACTTTCATTAAAAACAAGCATTGCCGTACCTTTTATGTTTTGTATGTATTAAAAATTTAAAAGCATACATTGTACAATTTTAAGACTGTTCTGATTGTTGTGTCAAACATTTCACAGAATTAATAAAATGTCTTCTTAATAAATATATCAGAAAAACCAGTACAAGTACAAGGTTTCCTTGGAAGGAATCATATTTAAAAATGACTGACACGTCTACACCATTCTCATCCAGCTTATTGCTGAAGAAACTTTATATTATCTGATAGTTTTATTGTATGTTGCCTTAACCCGAAGCAGCAGTAAAATTCACTATCATTGAAAATATTTATATATTTTTATGTTGTCTGTCAGAGCAAAAAGAACTTTTTCTTGGTTCATAGCCAGCAATATAAAATAATTAAAAACTCTAAACCTATATAAAGTATTTAAAACTAAACCAGCAAGTTAAAAGCATGCTTATCTTAAGGATAGGAATGCAACACCCTCCCTACTGTTTCCTACATACTTTTAAGGAGGGTCAGAACCACGTCCCATCCATCATCAACCTGTTGGGTTCTTTATGAGGTATAATAAAAGACATTCACTCTAGAATTCACCTTCTTAGCTTCTTGTAGGTATAGACTTGGAAGTGTGCCTTTGGATAGGTACTCAGTGGCTGTCAGAGTTGATGATGATGATGATACTAATACTAATACAATAGCCAGTGCTGTCTGGGCAGTTCACAACAATTATACATTCAGTTTTCCTGACCAATAATGAGGTGGGAAGATGTTCCTTAATTTTTTTCACCTACACCCTTTTTTCCCTTTCCTTTCCATCATGACCACAAGTGTTAGCTAATCAACTTAAATTCCAGTTTAGAGGTTTCCAGTACGGTACCTGTGGATACCATACTGGTTAACAGACTTCCAGTACTGTCCACGAATCTCCTCTCCCTGCTTCCTTCAAAAATTATTTTCAGTTTTAAAAAAAAAACCCTTGAAAAGCATTAAGGCAGCATGCTTTCCTTCATGTTTCTGAACCTGCTGCTGGCCAACTGTTGCTCTTGGAAAGTTGCTCTTGACCTACCCATGCAGATTTTCTCTCTTTGCTTTCCCTGTCTGTCCACTCCTAGTTTCTAGCCTTGCTAGCCTTGTAAACCATCCAGAAGCACATAGTGATTGGATGGGTTAGAAATGTCCCAAATAAATAAATTTCCCCCCACCCAACCCATTTCCTTGGTTTTTCACTCTCTTTTCCACCCCTAGCCTTTTTTCTTTCCATTCCTGCCCTACTTTTCTCCCACTCACCCCTTTATCATATTGTTAGGCTTACTCCATTGCTGCACCTTGTAACGCCCTTCCTCTCCCTTCCACCCCTTTCCTGTGATATTTCCCCCTCCTTCCCACCTTCTGGACTTTCCCTTTCTTTCTTACAACTCACCAGTTCCCCAGGGTAGCCACATCTCCTGTGGGAGGCTCTTTGTGGCAGTGCTTGTAGCAGTTGGTCGAATTTCCAAAGAAACCTATTGATCCAAAAAGATTAAGGACCCATTTTGTAGTTATTCTGTGTGGGTGTTAGGTCACATTTATTTATTTGTTTGTTTGTTTATGGGTGCCTTCTAAATATCAGGGTGGTAAACAATATACATAACTAAAAATGACCTGCTACCATAAGATGAAGCAGAAACAATAAAACAGAATCATAAAATAGAAAAGGCAACTAAGAAAAGCAACTAAAGACAGACAGACAGCTTGGAAGTATCTGGGCAGACTGAAAAGTTGTGATCTGGTCCTGCAACAACTGAAATATCAAATCTTCATGGCAAAGGTGTTCTACAAAGATGGCACCATAAAATAAAAATTTCTTTCCCTGGCTGCCCAATAGTACTGCCCAAATTGATAATAGCAAGCTTGGCCATACAATCTCTGTCCATGAAGTTGAAGCTGACAATGGTTTAACAATATTTCTCTCTCCCAGAACCATTGGAAAAAGAAGGGGGAAATGTTGCTGAGTTGATCTTAAAAGGTGCTTTTAGGGTTCCTCATACTGGAAGATTTTCCATTTAGATTTTTTAACTTAGTTCTTCTAATGCTATTTTTAATATTCTCCCGAAACTTAAGCGTATTTTAACAAAGTGAATTACAAAGCAACTAACCAGAAAAAATAGAGGAAGCCTGACTAGTCCTCTTTCACTTGGCTGGTGTTTTTTCCAGATCCAAGGGCCATCAGCGCTGATTCTCATGCTTGCAAATCTAATGCAAATTTGTCACCTCTGCTGCCATGCCATGAAAATGAACTGCTGTCTGCAAGCCCTGGGGATCCTGACCACTTGTTACTAAACCAGTTGCTTGATGTGAATCAAGAATTACTGCAATCTGGAGTCATTGCTCTATGTGGTATGTAGAACATAGATATCCATGCATTTATGTAAGCAGAAACATATATAAACATATATACAGGCAGTCCCCGGGTAATGAACAGCTGGATTATGAACAACCCATACTTAGTGGACTACCAGAAACCCTTTATGAATATCTCTAGAGAAAAGCCATGAATATCTCTAGGGAACTACATGACACATTTGGCAATGCATCATCAGTGGCCATGTGGTTCTCTAGAGAGAGTTGTAACTCTCTAGAGAACTACATAACACATTTGGCAGCACATCAGTGGCAACTGATCACCTAGAGATACAATGTTCACGGCTTTTCATTCTTCAGTGTCTGCTCAAGCATAACCAGTGTGTTTCCAGGCATGTGTAGGGCCTCCAGGATGAAGCAGAACCACGGCAAAACAGTTTCTGGGAAGGGCAGAAGCAGAGGTGCCCAGATTATTTCTCCCTATTCCTCTGTTGTTGTTGTTTTAAAGCTTGAAATCCTGTTTTTATTTATAACCTAATCCATGAGGTAACCTTTTGTTTGAGGGTTGGTTTTGTTTGGAATTGTGGCATTTATTATTGTAAATTAGCAGAGCAACTCAGAAATATAGAAAATGAATAAATAAAAAAAATATACAGTACTTTAAAGTGCTCAAAATGCTTTATATTCATGATCTTGTTATAATCTATGCAAGAATGATAGTGAGCTAGCTTAACTCTATAAGACAATGATTTGAAAGAATATTCTAAACTTTTAAGAATTATTTCTGTTGTTTTATGCAATACTGTAAACTTACATGCATATATACAGATTCTCTCTCTCTCTCTTCTCAGTACCTGTAATTACTTTATTATTACTGTATTATTATCATTGTCATGATGCTGTATTGTGTTTAGGGTGTTTTAGTGACTGTAGAAACATAGAAACAGAACGAGTCAGAAGGGGTCTCCCGGGCCATCTAGTCTGACCCCCAGCTCTAGCCAGCTTTGCTTACAACATGCCTACCATGTGCATGTCTAGCCTATCCTTGAATACCCTCACCGATGGGGCCTCAACCACTGTTGAGGTTTTATATGCTTAAAAAGTGTTTTATATGCTTAAAAAAGTAATACAGATACAGATTCATACAAACATTTGACTTACTCATGTGATCTGACTTACATACAAATTCAATGCAGGGATGTTCTCAGAAACGGAACTTGTCCGTAACCTGGGGACTACCTGTATACATATTTTAAAGTATGTCTGCGTGGAAGTTTCATGTGATTCCCTGTAGGAAAGCAGGAGGAAAAATGCTCATGCTGTCATTATAGTAAGTGCCATATGGCGTGCATAGCCTTGTTGGCCTTCACAGGCATCTGAAGGACATGCAAAGTTTAGTAGAATTTAGTATAAATTTCTTAAGATAAGCTTTGTGGACTTTGACCAAATAAGAATTTGCCTTGTTTGTTTACTTATATGGTAAGTGGTTTAGAACTTAGTAGTCTAAGTTAAATCTCACACAGACAGCCCTCTGAGGTTTCCTATATCCTCAGGACACATATATCAACTCCTTGAACCCCAGTATTCATAGCTGTATTGGTCATCCTCAACAAGAATGTGACTGTACCACCCCAGCACATTCACATCTTTCAGTACCATGATCCCAGACAGATTCTTTGATTTTAGGAATTGCAAGAGCATGTTCAGATTGCAAGGTGTGCTTGCCCGATTTAGTCTTTTAGGTGGAATTCAAAATTGTGTCTTGTTTAAAAATAACAGCATGGCAGTCATTTCATTTTAAAAAGAACATCAAGGTTTAGTTTACAGAGTGTAATCTCAGCTTCACATCCACCTCATCCAACAAATGCCTCACCATTCCTGTGCTCAGAAACATAAAGAAATAGCATATCTTCCAGCTTCTAACAAGGTGATTAATCATGAATGTCCAATATAAACCTTGGCTGTAGAATACTGCAAGTAGTTGTAGCATTTCTGGGGGAAATAATACTTGTGAAAGTGGTAGAAGTTGTAGAGTACACAATTGTGCATGCAGTTCCCTTGCACAAGATGCCTAACACATAACAGGAATGTGCAAAGATAGCAAAGGTATTCCCAACTGCCTCTACTTCCATAATTCTTTCCCTCTGTCCATTGCCTCAAGTGCATCCTTACTGTGGGACAGGGATGAGCAACACGTTGCCTGAAGGTCATGTGTGGCCCTCATACTGCTTTTATGGGCTCCTGCCATAGCAAAGATACCATGATTTGGCGAAGAAATGAATGGTCAATGGCAGTGTTTGCTGTTGCCACCATGAGTGGCAAATGCTGCAGTGGCAATTTTGCAGGGAGTGAGGTGCAACCTCTAGTGCGTACCTGGGGGCACTGTGCCCCCTGGACTCCCAATGATTGCCTATCCCTGGTCAGGGCTTTATCTCTTTCTTGTCTATCCTTCAGTTCTAAGTCAGCACCAGAATGGCCCATTGCTATGACCAAGTTAACAAACTATCCCTGCTTGCTAAGCATGTAAGTAGCAAGGAGTAGGAGAGAGTAATACCTGTGAGACTCAATCCTTAGGAGGGACTCCGTCAGTGGGTGGTTCACAGGGGAGTTTGCTTGTTCAAAATGAGATTCTGCTCCCTCAGAAAGAACAGCTATGTAGTTTGTGGGGTGCTCTGGGATGCAAGTGGTACAGTGGGTTAAACTGTTGAGCCACTGGGCTGTTTGTTGATCAGAAGGTTGGCAGTTCGAATCTACACTGTGGGGTAAGTGCCTGCTGCTTTGTCCCAGATCTTGCCTACCTAGCAATTCAAAAGCATGGAAATGATAGTAAATAAATAGGAACCACTTTGGTGGGAAATGTAACAGCACTCCATGCGCCATGGTGTTTAGTCATGTAAACTACATGACCATGGAAGCATCTTCAGACAATACTGGCTCTTCATCTTACAAATGAAGATGAGTACCAGCCCCAGAACTGGACACAACTAGCACATATGTGCAGGGAAACCTTTACCTTTGCTTAGACTCCTCATTGTAATTAGAAGTCCACATGGCTTCTGTGGTGGCAAAGAGCACCTGTTATTCACACATGGGGACATATCAGCTATGCCCTTTCCTGGGCAGGCATAGGCAACTTAAAGTACTGTTAACCTCATGTTTAGATTACCATAATGAGCCTTTGTGGGCTACCCTTGCATTTAATCCAGAAGCTACAGATGGTCCAAAATGTGGCAGCCAGGATGCTGAGCAGATTGCCCAACCAGGTACATATTACACTGATGCAAAGGTAATTATGTTGGTTGCCTCTTAGCTACTGAGCCAGGTTCAGTGTCTAGCTTTTGGCAGATAAAGCTGAAACAGTTTGAAACCTGGTTATCATGACCTGCAGGCTGTCACCCCACAGCAACTAGGAAGCAGACTTTTCTATGGTAGTGCCCAATTTATGGAATCATCTTGCCCATTATTAAGTAGGCAATAACTGTAACATACTTTAGGCATCAAGTAGATTCCCATTTCTTTACTCAGCCCTTCCCTGAGTGAATGAGCTTCTCACTCTGTAATACAGTGTTGTTTTACTTGATTTTAATGTATTTATTAATGCTTTTGTTAATACTTTGTAGATCAGTCCACATCTATAGACTTACTTGTTTAGCTCCTTAAAGTTGAGGATGTAATGATTGATGTCATAAAGGTGCTACTGATACTTGATCAAGCATGAAATAACCCTGCATTCCCTTTATGATAAAAAGGATGAGGTGCTAGCTGGGTAGACAGACTCAGAAATGTAGAATAGTATTATAGAGGATGCCTTGTTTTCTTCAATTATATTTTCTGGTTAGGAAACAGGGATCGCTTTGGAAGAGCTGTGGTGCAGGTCAGCAGAAAAAATGGTGCCTGCTTAAGTGACTGTTCCAGAGTCAGTGAGCTCACACAACTTCTGCTGTATTTCTATCATATTCCCAGGTAAGGAGAAAAAAACTCTCATTTTTTAGCGTAACAAAACCAGTTATATGGAAGCGATGAAACTGTTGTTATTAAGGCCGGAGTGCTGAGGTGTACAGTGCTCAGGCTAAGACTTGAGTAAAGACCCCAAGCTCTTAGTATGTGGTACCTGTGCAGCAGATCAATTAAACTACAATATTTTGGAGTACAACTCACAGCATTCCTTACCATTGACCATGCTGGCTGAACCTGTAGAATGCCGAAGTCTAAAACATCTGGAGGGTGGGAAGTAGGTTGAGGAACGTCACTCTTAAAGATTAAAGGTGGAAGGAAGCCAGGCAGTAGCTGTTGTTTTCTATGGAGTGTAGCTTTTATAGCCTTGCTTCTCTAGTAGGCCAGACAGCAACCAGAAAACATTTTAGAAAAAAGTTACTAGTGTTAGCATTTCAAAAGCAGGTACTTTTCATACTATGTATACTTTTTATAAGTCTAGTTTCAAGACCTCATGTTTACTTGTTTTAGAAAGGATGTCCGTGCTTTGGGGCTGCTTATTTTAGTGGATGCTCGCAAGAGTCAGAACATACCCTCTCTTTTCAAAGCTTTGGCAGCATTACAGGTGAGTGCAGATAGTTGATGAAGTGTTAACACCACAGACTCAAAGGTAGAGACTATTCTAATATAAGCACTGGCATATCTTCATCTGTCCATAAGCAATTAACATTTCTCACTTTGAAGTGGGGACATTTTTGGTAGTCCCTTTCTGATATCAAAGAAAGTAAGTGATTTTCAATAAACTTTAGAGAATTTCAGGTTTCTTGATGCTAGCTAAGTTGATACTAGTAAATACAATTGATTTAACAGACATTTACTCTCATTCTTTGGCCTTTAACATGCTGTTACTGCAGATACTATATGTCTGTAAATGTTAAGCATGACACATTTCTCAGCATCTGGGCAGTATCTTTTGCTGCTAGCCCACTCCATCATGAGCACAACTGGGAGTTATTGGTTCTTAAAGCAACCAATTTGCTTGGTTGCTCATTTCTAGAACTGGGCAAGTGAGCAGAACTTGTGGAAGCCAGGACTGCTGAGCCACCCTAATCTGGAAACAAGTGTTTCCACTAGTTCAATGAAATGAACAGGAGTTCAGTTGCAGCATTGGATACAACCTTCTAGCCACTTACCCAGTAGAGCCATGTGTGCTGAATAGCATTGTTTCCTGTTCTAGTGGATAGACAGCAACTTTGTGGTTACCAGTTCTTCATAAAAGAGGAAAGATCTTATTGTTACTGAATCCACTCCAATATATTGATCTTAATAAGCTAGCTTTAGTATTTCCCATGTACTGCAATATGATGGGCACGCCTTGTGGAGAAGCAAGTTTCCACAAGATACTGAATTAAATTCTGGAAGAAAGATAGTTTGTGTTGGCTCAGTGTTTTAGCAAGGTTTTGGCCGCAGCTGAAAGTAGTGGAAATGAAGAATTAAATAATGTTTTTATATATTATAATGCCTTCCTTGTAATGCCTTCCTGGCAGTTTTCTTGGGTTAGCCCTACTTCTGAAGAGAATTTTCATTTTAATTCACACTGCATCACATATTTTATTTGCTGGAAGAATAAGTGTCATTTCTTCCAATAATGTGTGTGTGGGGTGGGTGGAATACTGTGGATTTTCTTATGAAGTGGAGGTTTAACTCAAGTATGAAGCCTTCAAATTACTTATCCCCTTCATTGCTTGAAGAAGAACACACACTGAAAACATTTGAATTAGAATTTACTGCTAGGTTAACATGAATAGGTTAGTTGCATCAAGTATATGCTTACATTGCTACAGAAATTCTATTAGGTTTATAATTTTACTTAAACAAATTAAATCTATTTTGGCAGTTTGCAACTTCCAGTAGGTTTGAATAGGCTGATCATTGTTGTTTTAAGTAACTAATTGCCCTGCAGCTGAAATAATGAGGGCAGCAACCATAATGAATGAATGAATGAATGAATGAATGAATGCAACAAAACCAGCAACCCAGCTTAAAACAAAAAGAATTCAAAAGCACCCTCAACAGAAGTAAACTTTAAAAGCCGGAAAGAAATGTCAGGACAGATGATGATAATGACTGTGATAATGACAGTGGAAACATTGCCTTAATGACATGATTTATTATTTTAGTAGCAGGAATTACATAGGCTGATATATGTAGTAGGTTTCTGAATTCAGGGTATTGTATGTAGTGGTGTCCCTCTACTGATGGAAAACTTTGATCTAGCATAGAATTCCATTAGCAAAAAGGTGATTTTCCTTTCCCTCTTGCAGCCACTCTCATAGAGAGTAAATTTCCTCCCCAATGAATCAAATATCCTTCTGTCAACAGGACACCACTGGATACAACCAATAGAATTTACTGCTAGGCTGACATGAATAATTTAGTCGCATCAAGTACATGCTTACGTTACTATGGGAATGGGTGGGATTTTCAAGTTTAATTTCAGGTTGAGTGTGCTGGGTGTGGCCCAATGAATAATTGGACATGAGGGTTGTATTGATTGGAATTCAGACAGACTTTACAGTGTCCATTTGGAGGGAAGAAGGATGATCCTTAGCAATTGTTGCTGTACTTCGGTCTCAAAATTTTAGGTTTATTTTTCAGTTAAAATTGTCATTTTTAAATGTTATTTTACTTAACATGTTGTGTTTCATCAAATTTGTTTTGCTTTGTTTTAGAGTGCCATTCCTCATTCTGTTCACAGTGTTTTGATACTGACTAATAAGGAAACTGCTTTTAGGCCTGACAAAGAAGTCACATTTCAGGTGAAACAAATAAGAAAGAATTAAATGTTTTACTATGGATAATGATTGATAGGACAGCTTGAATTTGCTTCTTACTCTTGGTAACATATCCCAGATTAGCCTATGCTGGACTCTGAAAATTAAGGGCTATATATAATTGTTGAAGTGACATTGCTAACTGCACTCTGAAGTCAAGAAGGAGACTGAGGCAGAACTGACCACCATTGTGTCAAGCTAAATATATAGTCTCCCTCCTCCCCCTTTTCTTTTTGTGTGTGTGAGGACAGGGATGTTGATCCTTTGGCCTGGGGGGGGGGGGTCAAATAGGCCCCCCCTGGGGCTTTAATCAGTTCCTCTATCACTCCCCAGAAGGTAGTTGTATAGTTTGTCTAAAGGCTGAAGTGCCTTTCCTAAGGCTTAGTTACTGGCAGTAAGAGGTTTCTATGCTGGTATTCTTGGAGGTTTGGGCCCTCCCCCTTTGCTATTGGCCCTGTCTACTGCTGGGATACAGAACTTGAGAACATCTTTGAAATTGAATTTGGCTATTGCCACTTTTAAGAGAAGGAAGTCAGGTTGCCCTGCTCCTTCCCCTCACCATTCTATGATTCTATGATTCCTGCCTCTTCTTAGGACCAAAAAAAGGAGTTAACCGGACCAGTGAGTAATCACTGCTTCAACAACTGTTTGCAGTTTTGATTTTCAAAGCTAAAACTTCAGTCATGCTAAAGTCGATGAAACTTGTTTTGAAGCATGCATGAGACTGGATTGCTTGGGTATTTGTATAAAGCTATTTGCAGCAAGTCCAGTTGTTTGTTTTAAAAATGGCTAGACCTCTTGGTCTGGGCTATTTCAGAGTATCTTCTAATATTCTTTCTCACGCCAAGTATTTGAGTCTATGAATTTTCTCTGAAATGGGTGGATAGATAAGAGAATTGTGTGCTGTCACTAATTTTTCACAAATGACATCCCTGGTTTAGGCTGATGCTCAAACACTAAATTTGTCTAAGCCCTGTAGAGCTGGTGAAGAACTCTGTAAGTCAAAAGTTCCTTGGCCACTTCTTGTCAAGCAGAAATTTGCACACTTTTCTTCTTCATCTTCTTAGGGGTTGGCAAATGTCATGGCAACTGTGGTGGTATCACTTATGATGAGCAGGTTGTTGTTTCAGAGTACCCACAATGAGCCTGACAGAAGATTCTGTTCATTGTGGCTACTTCTCTCCCTCTTTCCCACCTGTTCCTCAAGAAAGTAACCTAGGGCACTGCAGGTTTGCAAGCTGATTTTGATTCACTTTGGTGTGTCCCCCCCCCCCTTTCCCCCTGAGGTAGCAGAAGCCAGCTGCTCAACTGGCTTTTGCTATCCTCTTAAGCGACAGATTTGAACTGCCCTTCAGATTGCCCTGTGGCACCTGGTAGGGGCTGCAAAAGCCTGTCCACTGTTGTTTATTAATATTTTTATTCCCACATTTTAATGATTTGTTCCTATTGCACAAATAGGACTTGTTCCCTGAAGCACAACAGGGTCAAGTTCAAGATCAACTAGGACAATTGCAGAAGGGTGCCAGCAGTCTCGTCCCACTGGGCAGCCTCTGCATTGTTCTAGGTGAGGCTGGAAATTCCTTTCTGCCTCCTTGTTTTCAGTGTCCAACCTGTGAAAGAGAAGCTGGCCATTGAATGCAAAGGTGTGATGGATCTTTTGCTGAAGAGGGGTTGTTTTTCTCAAAAAGCAAAATCCTAATCTTTCACCATTCTGTCCCTTTGTTCTTCATTAGAAAGCAACTTTTTCTTTTTGTCCTAACCTTCTATAGACTCAGGAAAGAGTCAAACTGCTGTACTCAGTTATGTAAAGGGAAACTGAGTTTAAAGGAAAATGGAACTGTCAAACTCTGTTTCCCTTTAAAGAAGTAGGGAGGAGGAGTTTGACCCTTTGCTGAAGCACATAGAGTGTGGGGCAAAAGGGCAAAGTTGCTCCCCCAAGGAGAACAAAGGGAGAACACACAAAAAGGCTCTTGCCAGGAAGGGAGTGCTGTTTGTGAAAAGGATCTCCTTCTCAGCCAAAATGCATTGCACCTTTGCTTTCTGTGGCTGGCACCCCTCTGCATATTGTCGCAGGTGAGGCTGCATGTTGATCTCATTGCTCTTCAAGACATGAGTTGTGTTTGTCTAGTGGGACAAAGAAGAAAATCTCTCTCTCATCTTCTTTGATCCAATTGTGCAAATAGACTTTGTACCCTGAAGTGCAATGAAGAGGATGAGGGAGACTCTCCTAGTCTCTGCACTGTGCTGCTGTCCCATTGCATTGAGCAGAGATTTCTTCAGGAGCAGGTGGGTGTGCCTGATTGACTCTGAATCAGTGTCTCACGTATGTCATCACTGCCTCCTTCTGGAGAAGTTTCTCTAGAGCAGGAGACAAGACTCTATGCCACTGTCCCAAGTATGTGGCAGCAGAGATCTTCAGTTCCTTCCTCCTGCTCAAGAGTAGACCTCTCTAGCAGAAGATGGGATACCCAGTCCATTCCACATCACTGCTCTGAAGAGTGGCAGGCAATGAGGGGTAGAGTCCAGGGAATTTTTTGCCAGCTAACCACAAGCACTGTTTTGGCACTTTGGAGTCGTTGACAAGGGCGATCACCTGACAGCAGCTTGGTGTATGCAGAGAGGGAATTTTGCCACTCTTTCCAAGCAGCTCACTAGTTGAGCTGCTTGGCAAGAATCCTACATGTTGGGTTGCAATGCCTCTGTTCAGAAAATATAACAAGCCATCATGATAATAACAACTTCAAAAGTCCATGGGCACCACAGGGTGGCTTGTTTGAAAAAACAAGTAACCCTTAGTGAAGCTGTTCCTATATGCACCAACTCCATGGAAACAAACTATGGTGAATTGTTGTGTTGTCCAAACTAAATCAGTATGTTAAAGGTGATAGCTAGATGCCTTGCAAGCTGTCTAGGACTTAGATTTATGTTATCTGATACCATGCAAAATTAATTAAAATATTCTGTATAAATATTGACTTGGTTTGATAGTGTGAAGTTCTAACATCACTGAAGGGTTTGCATAGATTCATTGATGGTAACCAGCTGACAGCAGAATTTGACGGAACATTCCCTTACAATCATAATGACTGGATATGCTTCCGAAGAGTGAGTTAAAATTTTGAACCCTTGAAACTATTGTTTATTGTGCTTCCTCAATAATTTTTGATTGCCTTGATTAACTCTTAGTTTGTCGTAAAAGCTAGAAATTAATAATATTTAGCATAATGTCAGTAAAATCTATTGGCTCAGTTCTAAAAGCCTTCTGAGTCATGGTTAAAGAAACTTAATTAGGATTTGCTATGATGGTGGAATTAATAAACTGCAGTTAACTACTACTGTCCAACTACCAGAAGCTAATGAAATGTTAGGAGTCTAAATTACGGCATGCCTATAATATATTTGGAAGCTCAAAGGATGATTTAAGTTTTAATTTGTGGTTAGCAGAAGCCATAGCTTGTCTGAATTGAACCATTCAGTTTTATTGGAAAAATATATAACCAGATCATGTTCGTGGCGGGGGGGGGGGGGGGAGTCTGTAAGACCATCACAGTGGAAAATACAACATATTCTGTAGCAGCAATCAATATATACATCAACCAAGCATACCCTTCTAAATGTTATGTATGTATGTATGTATATCATTAAATTAAATATCAAATAAACTAAATATTTAGCACAAAATATCTGCTCTTACATATCTACACATCAATAATTTAAGAAGTAAAAAAAGAGTATATTAATTTTTATATTGTAATATTTTTGAAATACTCAGTAAAAGGTTCCCATTTTTATCCATAATTTTGGGATTCTTTTGTGCACCATCTTTCAATCTACCTCACTGATTTGATATTATTGGCTAATGGATATTTTGAATCCTGGATTGGAAAAGTTCTAACAATGTTATTTTGGGACTCAAAAACAAGTTGTATCCAGTTATCCTGGAGACATGCTTCATAACTATTTTCTAAAATTTTTGAACCTTTGGATACTTCTACCAGATATGCAGATATAATAAAGCCATTTGCATCCCATATTTCCAACATGCACAATTATCATTTATAAAGTGTTCAATATCATCTAAATCAGTTTATAATACTTCTCTTTTAAATTAACACAAATTGAACTGGCCATTCCTCTGATAAAAATTACTTTCCATTCTTCACTGATTCTTAATATATTCTTCTTGTTCTAGCAATAAATATATTCTTGTTAATAAAACTTTAAAGCAGTCTTTCCAGCAGTTAATTTTTTCCAATTCAGATAGCTTCATATTTAGAGATCCTGTCCTGGACTTTTTATTAATTTTTAATTTGCCAATATTGAACCATTGGAGTTGATCTGGTTACATTCCTGTTCTTAATTCATTCTAACTCAAGCATTTTCGTCATTCAAACATGTCCCAATACCTTGAAATGCTATATATTTCTCATAAATAATCTTTGTTAGAATCTTTGGTAGATATTGAAAATCTGTTGAAGTCACCACCGATTCAAACCATAGTGATTTTCCTTCAGTTCAAAACATCTTTAACCAGCATATAGCTGCCACTTTCATGCTTTGGAACATCATTATTTTTTACATTTAGCAGCAACTCAGTTGCGTAACTTCTTACTTTTCAAATACATTGCCTGCCTCCATATTTTTAAAAAACAGTATATGCTGTTCTTCCTCAGGGCCACTGTGCATCACACATATGGGCACTGCGCCTGCACAGTGCCTGTAGCCGGGAAGATTTGAAAACTTAACTGTTTTGGTGGGAACTCCACACTCCTCCCTGCCATAGTATAAGAAGGCTGAGTGTCTGCCATTTTCCCAGTCTTCTTGCGACTGCCGTTCACTGTGCCTCGAGCCTTTTCTCTCTCCGTTCATAGCTATATTGCGTATCTTGATCCCCTTTGAACCGTTGCTCTCTGTTCTCTTAGCTTTCTTGTTAAGATTTCCAAGTTTTTCATCCCTCCCCGTTAGAAGTTTTCTTCACCCCCCCCCTTTTTACCCTCCTCCCAAAAAAGGTTTATTCTTTTCTTACATTTCTCATCTTCGCTATCTTTTTCGATCTTGAGGGCTCAGCGTGCAGCTATCCACAAGTGTTCTCAGTTCTCTGAGTCTTTCATCTCTCAGTCCATTATACTGTTGTATCTAAAAACCTTTTTACCGTTTTCCTTCTATCTTCTTAGCTTTCTTGTTAAGATTTTCAAGTTATGACCCTTCCCGTTAGAAGTTTTTCTAAATTCTCCGTTTTTCCCTTTCCTCAAATATGTGTGTGTGTGTGTATAAAGTTTAACCTTTTTATCATCTTTTTCTCTGCTTTGCTATCTTCTCTTTTCTCTTGATGGCTCAGCATGCGGCTTTCCCCAAGTGTTCTCAGTGTGGGACCAAAATGTCCCCCACTGATCCACACATTCTGTGCCTTCTCTGCCTCGGGGAAGGTCACAGAACTGATAAGTGTGGTCATTGTCAGGCCTTCACTAAGCAGGCACAAAAAAATTGAGAGAACCACCCATGCAACCTTCTTTGGGACCAGGCTTTAATTACGTCTGATCAACTCACGATGCAATCCGCTTTGCAGCCTTCTTCCTCGGCTGCTCCTCCTCCTCGCCCATCGACCAATGGAGCGACTCTATAGATCTCCTCATAAACAAAAGGAGAAGAGGAAGCACAGCAGATTAGACAATCTTCGGCCCACGAGAAGGACAGGGCAGACCAGGTGGCCCGTAACACCAAGAAGGCCAACCAGCCGCACCGCTGTGACTCAGGATTGTCCACTCCATCAGTCCCAACCGTGGCATCACTACTGACACCGACTGGCCCAAGTCTTCAGCTGGCCATGTAGGTGACCCCACCAGGGTCTCCGCAACAGATTGTCCCTTCGGCCCTGTCCTCGCCAGATGGTCCAGAGATGGCCCTGCCGGGATCAATTTTGGATGGAGAGATCCTGGACTCTCCACAAGTGGCCCCTCTGATGACATGCTCGTCCACTCCGCAGCTTTCGCCTAAGGTCTCCCTGAGGTCCCCACCTCAGCAGGTGCAACAGCAGCAACGTGTTTCTGGCTGCTCAACTGGAGACTGGGTGCAAGTGCCCTATGAGACCTCTCATCACGAGCCCTGGGAAGACTATGCACCCTATGGATATTATCCATCTGTCTGTCATTGCACACTGTCTCCAGTTCTGAGAGACGCTCCTTAGATGTCCGCAGTGGCTCAGACCAGGCACCCTTCCTCGCCGGCCAACTCCTCTAGTTCTCTACTCCACTACGATTCAGAGTCAGAGGATTCAGATGCAGCATCATCTTTACCGGACATGGTGATTACCACGCAAGGTCCTTGCTCACCTGAATCATATTTGATGTTTGGGGAACTGATAGCAAGATTGGCTAGATCACTGGAGATTGAGGCCCAGTACTACTTCAATCCCAGTGCCGATAATTTTTACAACATTGGGAAGAAGGAGCAATCTGCTGCCATCATTTTCCCACTCATAACATCCTTATGACAAGTGATAATGGAGTCCTGGAGATTCCCCAGCCAACCGCAACCGACTTCACAACGGTACAAATCGATGTACAGAGTTCAGAGCAGGCTATTCCATTCCTCCTGCGCCATCCAAAACTGAACTCTATCATCGTGAAGGCATCTCAGGGCCATGAGATGAGGGAACACTCCACTCCTCCAGAAAAGAAAGGACAATAGGTTGACATGATGGCTCGCTATATTTACATCGCCACAGGTCTTGGCCTCCGGATTTCCAGCTATGAGGCGACGCTGGCTCAGTATCAGTATTTTCAGATGCAAACGTTGGAAAACATCACAGTGTCGCTTTCGGAGCAGCAGAGGGACCTGGCACACATCTTTACCAGAGAAGTGATGCAGATGGCTATCCAACAGCTCTAGGTGGCGAGACATCATGTTGACTGCAACTCGAGGGCCCTCGTTGGTGCTGTAGCCCTCCGTCACCATGCCTGGCTCTGGAACTGCAATTTCCCAGACGAGACCAAGTGGCAAATTGAGAACATGCCCTTCAATGGCTTTGGGGTGTCCTATGCTAGGATGGACCACAAGCTCAAGAACATTCACGAGGCTCGCGTTATGGCTTGTCACATGTAGATTCTTCTATGCCATGGGTCCTCAAACTACAGCCCGGGGGCCGGATCCGGCCTGTCATGCCCATTTATCCACATGTGCCCACCGCCACCCACCTCACCCCACACATGGGAGGCAGCAGTTTACTCACTCAGAGAAAACTATCTCCAAGCGAGCAAGCCGCTGCCTTGTGCGCCCGCCTCCCCTCGCTGTGTGCACCTCTGCACACCCGCACCCGCCTCAGCGCGTGTACTCGCACTCGCCACCCCCACTTCCTCGCCAACCTGTGTGCACCACTAGGCACCACCTTTCCGGCCTGTGCCCAGCACCAGCAGCTTTCAATTGACCCCTTGGTGAAAAAGTTTCAGTACCCCTGTTCTACGCATTTCCTCCAATACTGCTCATTATGAGAACTCTAGCCAAGATCAGTCACGACAATGCTCGGTGAATTCTCATCACTCCCTGGTGGCCTTGCTAACCGAGACCACCATTCTTTGCCTCTCCAACAATACTAGCTCATCTTCTAACTCAACAAGACGGGACAGTGCAGAATCTGGACATTCACTAGCTCAATCTGACAGCCTGGCTTATCTGACAGGTCCTACTGCTTCCTTGGTACCAACAATCCTGTCAGATTCAACGCTGACCCGGCAGTATCCTGCCACAGCTGCCTCTTCATCCCCGATACTGATAACCGTTTCATCGGATCTGAGCGCTCTACACCCTGATATTCAGTTCATTCTTCAGTCGGCGTTAAGCCCTACCTTCAGTTTGCGTTAAGACCATATGCAGCTAAATTGCTGACACCAATCATTTCACCACTCATTCTGCTTTTATTGAGAATATTCTCCAATTTTTATTATCTTTACAGCAGACTGGACTTAAACCTTCGTCAATTAAGCAGTTTCTCACTACCGTGGCCAAGTTTCGGGCTCATCGATATTCTCTAACGTCCTGATCAGTCGCTTCCTTAGAGGATTACAGGATCTTCAACCACCAGTTAGATCAATTGTCCCGACATGGAGCCTTTCTGTTGTCCTACAAGCGCTCACCAAACCTCCTTTCAGGCCTTTGGCCTCTACTGATCTACATCTGTTGTCTTGGAAGACAGCTTTTTTTGTCGCAATTCATCGGCTAGAAGAGCCAGTGAACTTCGTGCTCTTTGTATCGATCCTCCTTACCTTAATTCTCATAAGGAGAAAGTCGTTCTGCGCACCGATCCTACATTTCTCCCAAAGATTGTTTCACCGTTCCATGTCATCAGAACATTGTCTTACCGGCATTCTTCTCTATGCCGTCTACTCCAGTAGAGCACTCACTACACTCTCTCGACGTCTGTTGCTGCCTAGCTTTTTACCGATCTCAGAATGAATCTTTTGTAACACGAAACACCTATTCATCAAGTATTCCAAACATGACAAGGGGTCCCCAATCGGGTTCCAAAGAATTTCTAAGTGGATCGTCCAGACTATTGAACTGACTTATCAACTCTCCAAGTTAGAGTTGCCTGCAATGCCCAGAGGCCATTCTATAAGGGCTGTTGCAGCATCCTCTGCCTTCTCTGCTGGTATCCTGCTTCATGACATTTGTAAGGTGGCAACCTGGACTACCCCTTGCGCATTTGCCAACATTATCGTCTAGATGTTCGTGCCAGACAGGACTGTTCCTTTGGTCGCGCAGTTCTCTCTTCTGTTCTTCATTGACGACACTGTCCCACCTCCGGGTGTGGTAAGCTTCTTAATCGCCCATATGTGTGATGCACAGAGGCCATGACAAAGAAAGGCAGGTTGCTCACCTGTAACTGTCGTTCTTCAAGTAGCCATCTGTGCATTCACACAACCCACCCACTGGCCCACTCGATGTCAGTGACTGGGTTTTACGCTACCGTTTTTCCTCTCGGCTACTGTTCTGTGTGATATATACTTACCTTGGGTGTCTCCTTGAGCTCACTTTGTTATGACATTAATGTGTAATGTTTTTCGCTTCCACTTGGGGGCGAACAGTCGGTCTTCAGTAGACTGGGGAAATGGCGGGCACTCTGCCTTCTTATACTATGGGGGGAGTGGGGTGCAGAGTTCCCGCCAAAACCATTAAGCTTTAAAATCTTCCCAGCTACAGGCACTGCACAGGCGCAGCACTCATATGTATGAATGCACAGATGGCCACTCGAAGAACGACAGTTACAGGTGAGCAACCTGCCTTTCTTGTGCATTTCTTGAAGAATCTGCTTGCTCTCTCTTCCTTCCCCCTTTTTCATTTTATAATCAGACTGATTTACTAGAACTCACAGCTCTCTGAACAGGACACACACACACACGCACAAGAAAATCAGTGAGCAAAAATGTGACAAACACATTAATATACTTTATATTAAGAAAAAGCAACCAGACAAGAAAAAGAAGACAAATATTTAAAAGTAAAGAAATCAAAAATAAAATCTCACAATAGAATGTATGCTCTTTATAACTTGTGATGAATTGCTATCCTACAACCCAGTGATGCTTATTCCTTTCCTAACTCTTCCATTTTATTTTAAAATTTCCAACTTCCAATGTACCTATACATTTCTTTTGGTTTTCAGTATCTGGGTCATCCAGCAGCTCATAACCATTACCTTTCTTTCATTCCTGTCTGCATATTACTTCATGAATACTTGCTTCATCAGTTAAAGTTGTTGCATCTACATCTTATGCATCATGTTTATCTCTCATTATCTGCCATTTGGTGCAACTGTCAGATTGTCCCAAAACTTCCTGCCCTAAAGATATGACTATTGTGAGACAATATTATTTAATTCAAAGAAAAAGAGTACACAGAGGACAGTGTTTATGAAATGTGTGGATTATTATTGCCCTTTCTAAACAAAGCACTTGCAGTGTCAAGCATTTGGATATATCCTATAAAAATGCATTTCAGGGTTATTGGAGAACAGGAGAAATTGGTTTTTAATGTTTCAGTTGTTGAATTTTTACTTGCAGAAACTTGAGCCTTTCATTACAAACTGCAAAGAGGCTGTTGCTTTCTTGCAGTACTCTGTATGTTCACTCAACAGTATCCCGATGCCAAATACAGCACAAGTAAGTATTTACCTTGTTCACTGTTTTGAAATGTGCTACTGGCAGCAGTCATCTGGGTTTGAAGTACTGTATGTTGTAACATGTAGACAGAGAGTAACTGGTTGCATAGTAGTTGAATGAGCTTTAAACCAGGAAGTCCCTGCTTCAACTATTGCTTCTGCCATGGACTTGTTAGTGAAGTTGCATGTTCTCTCCCTTTCTTCTAAGGTTTCTTTCCATAGAGTGGAGGTCATAATATTCACCTACAATACATGATTACTGAGATAAAACCTATGATGTGCTTTGAATGGCCATGATCAGACCTCCAGCAGGGAACAGGGAAACCAGTGGGGGTTGAATGAGTCTGCTGGGAACAAGGGGAGGGGTGGAGGAGGGAGGTTTACATGCTTGTGTGTCTGAATGGATGAGGGCAGCATATGTGTGAGAGAAAAGGAGAAAGGGTTTCTCTGTAGTATTACTAGCAAGAAGAAATAAGTACTATATCTTCCATTTAGGAGGTGAATGACTTAATGAACAAACACAAGACAACAATGAAACTTGTTCTGGAACATGAACTGTTGGTAACCCTAAGACTTCAGGGTGGAACAATCCTTGCAAGGCTTAGGAAGGAGGAATCCTGCAATACAGAAGATTATCGGTAGATATTTACAGTGTCATTATTATTGTACTGTTGATTGCAGATTACTGTGTGATATTTTGAAGCTGTGTTGCTAGTTGGCAAGTAATTAAATCATGGATCATTATAAGAAGTAAGGATTTTCTGTGTCAGAGAAGGTATTTTCAAAGAACTGCTCTAACCCAAATGATTATGCTGATTATATGGAATCACAGACAGGAGAATATGGCATTTTAAAAGTCTGATTCAGATGGAAGATTATGAAGAAGTCCAAAATGAGAATTAAATTTAATATTTTCCCAACGTTAAGGACAAAGTTGACACACATGCATGCACACAATGATCCAGTTTAAATTATCAAGCAACCCATGGTTTCCAGCTACTTACCTGCTTCTGATTCAGAAACAATCCAGCAATACACCACATTGCTGAGATGTTACCATCCAAATTCATGAACTCTCAGTTATTTAGGGGTTAAGTAACCCAGAATTTGCCTAGCAATCACCTGTAGTTCCAGAATTTGGGAATCACAATAAAACAGAGGTAGCGAGTGGGCAGCAGAAAGAGCACTTGCTTGCTCCCTGTACCTCCCGGAATTGACTGTGATATTTGAAACAGATCATAAAAGAGTTTTTAATGGTTTCTTTCAAAGAGCAGGTCCAGCATTCCCAAACAATATATCCTAAACCACTTTAGACACTCTGCTAAATTTAAATGCAGTTTGTTAATGTAACTCTGGAGATTGGAGGATCATGTCTAGCATTTACTCTGTACATAGAACTAGCTACCCCATTTTTTATTTGTACCTTTTAATTTTCACAATATGGTTACGATAGAGATAGGCTGAAATTATGTTTCGGTAGGCTGAGAAGTCTTAGTTCTGTCTTTTTTACTAAATAGATCTTGAGGATCATCATCATCATTGCAAATATGAGATGCCACTTGTTAAGTCTGGGCAGCATCTAGAATGTTTTTTAAAAGGTTTTATGAATGCTTATTTCTCCCCATCCCCACTGCTCCACAGAGATGCTATGGAGACTATTACGAAGCTGTATAATCAAGTAGATGAGGAAGTGCATAGATTGGTTCTGTTGTCTAATAAATGCTTGCAGAAACTAGAGAATCTCTTGGCAATGAGAAAATTTGAAGGAGGCTGTGATCAGGTCAGTACTATTTACATATGCCTGTATATTTTTCCCATAGACAAGTGAAGCATACTTTTTAGCATGAGAGATCCAATTACAGATTTCTGTTCAGCAGTGGTCCTGCTTTTGCATTTACATCCATATACTTTTTTGACTTTCTCTTTATGTTATCCTGGTAACATTGTATGGACACTAGCATGAAAGTTTTCAATTTCTTCTTTGTATCAGTTGCTGAACATAGACTTGAATTATGGTTATGTTGATAGGTTTTCCACAAATTCTGAATGATATGATTTGGTCAGACTGCATTATAGGCTCTTACTCCCTTTGCTATATCTTGCCTCAGTATTAGAGCCACTCCATTTTTTCTGAGTTTATCATTTCCACTGTAAAACACTTTGTATTTATATGACTGAAAATGTCTCATTCCAGCCCACTTTTGTTCACTCACACCAAGTACTGTGATGTTTATCCATTCCATTTCTTGTGTTATGGTTTCCAATTTGTATCTGTTATGTAGCTTTGGACTTTCCCCTCTGTGCATGTCAGCCAATCAACTTCCTTTCAGCTTTGATCTAGTTGCGTCATTAGCAACAGTGCTATTCATATTTGCCTTTTATTCTTCCCTAATAGCTGGTTAAGTCCCTTCCAGCCTGGGAGCCTCATTTTCTGGCACTATCTCATATCTCATTTGGATGGTTTCATCATATGGTTTTCTAGGTTAGAAAATTTAGAAGTGGTTTACCATTGCCTTCTTCTGTACAATACTAATCAGAGTTAACTTGAGCATCACTGCTATGGTCTGTGGAAGATCCTCTGCCAGTGTCCCCTTCAGCTTCTGTTGCTGCCCAGTAGCTGATGTGATCATTAGGAGTCGGATGCATCTTCGTCTGGTGCCTTAGCTTTGACCGTTCCACCTTGGATGATCCTGCTAAGAAATGAGGCTAGTGAAAGAGTCTGTCCTCCTGGTGCCTTTACTTTTATCTTCTCTTACATTCTGAAACCCCCCTCACCACATCAAGTTGTGCATCCAAGAAGGGAAACAGGAAGGTTGCAACAAAAGAGCTGCAATGGCACCATACATTCAGTACTTAGAAAACAGAGGGCTTCACTTTTAAAATAAGTAGGTTATTTTTACGAAGTTGCTCATCTGAATTATCTGTAGATATAACCCTGTATTTTTTACAGATAAAAGTCTGGTTTGAAAATGAGAGCAAGAAATATCTTGGGCCATTGGATCAAGAAACGCTTTCAATTGAAAATCTGAAAAAGAAGTGGGAAGAATTCCTAGTTTTCAGTGAAAAGACAATGGTAAGTCCTTAGTCCAGGAACCATTGATTGTTTTCTGGAACTGTATGTACATAGCTTAAAAAGTATCCAACAAGTGAAGAAATGAGGACTGCAACTTTCAAAGACAAATCATTCTGATAACCTGATTTTAAATTTTCTGTTTTTTAAAAACTTACACCCAGTTAAGAAGGCATGAAATACATGGCACCCCATGTACAAAACTTTTGATTATGCAAGCCAGCCTTCCCAATGGCTATTCTGATATAGTTCCATGGAAAAAGCTGATGTGAGCTAAGGTAGAGCAGAATGGATGCATTTATCTGCGATTCCCTCCCAGAATGTTGTGTATAGACCCTGGCCTGCATAGAGCAGGTGGTTTGAAAAGTCAAGAGGAACTGATGGACTTGTTTAAGGCCCACATATCTTACCTGTGGGGCTTTCAGTTGCTTCCACTGCCACCAACAGTGCTGATTTGAGGGCAGTCTCCTCCTTACTCTACTTCACAGTTGGACCACTGCCACACTGTGGCCAGCTTAGTCTGCATCACATAATTGGAGCAGAGGCTTGAGTTGTAGCAGGAGAAGGGACATTTGGCCTGGTAGTCAGTTTCTAGGAAGGGAGGGAGAGGGAGGGGCCCAATCCATGCCCTGTAATTCTGCATGAGGCATCTTGAGCTACAGCTCAACAGTAGAGAGAGAAAGAACTTAGTGTAGTCACAAGGGTGGGAAAAGTAAAATAGCAAAGAAAGCTAGAGTAGTAGAACAAAGCAGCACAGAAGAAAGACAAGAGACGGATACTAGTTACTGTTCCCAGCATTCCCCAGCCAGCCCTGTTCTGGGACTTTTCTCTGTCTAAACATGCTTTGGATTGTATCTTAAAGCTTTCATCAGATAATATTATCTAAATTTGACTGTAGAAAGAATATGAAAGGTATGTTAGAATTTTTTAAAACCTCCCTTGAAAAGCAGGGGAGGAAAATAACTTAGAAAGGTAAGCTATGCCAGGGAACTTTTTGGTAGGGGTTGTTGTCATATGTTTATTGGGTAGTATTCAACTTTAAAAGTGCATATAGTCAAGGCTATGGTTTTCCCAGTTGCAATGTATGGCTGTGAAAGCTGGACCATAAGGAAGGCTGAGCACCGAAGGACCGAGGCCTTTGAATTGTGGTGCTGGAGGAGACTCCTACGAGTCCCTTGGACTGCAAGGCGATCAAACCGGTCAGTCCTAGAGGAGATCAATCCTGACTGCTCTTTAGAAGGCCAGATACTGAAGATGAAACTCAAATACTTTGGCCACCTAATGAGAAGGAAGGACTCCCTGGAGAAGAGCCTAATACTGGAAACAGTAGATGGCAAAAGAAGAAGGGGATGGCAGAGAACGAGGTGGCTAGATGGAGTCACTGAAGCAGTTGGTGTGAGATTGAGTGGACTCCGGGGGATGGTGGAGGACAGAAAGGCCTGGAGGAATGGGGTCGCAATGGGTCGGACATGACTTTGCGACTAACAACAACAACAACATCCAACTTTAAGTAGACCAATTGAAATGAATGGGGCTTATGATTACAAGCAGTTATCTCCAGCAAATCCTTGATTACTAAATTAAATGGAAATGTGTTAGTTTTCACCTGCAATGCATTGTAACCTATTGTAACCTATTATGTCTATTTTGACCCTACTGTAAGCACATATTATATAAATGTGAAGAAAACAATGGTACTTTCTTTGCATCATCGCTTGCTTTAATGCCAGCATCTCAAAGAATGGAAAACAGGCATATCTTCTGTAAACTCCACCTGGTTTTTTTAAACTGCTGGGACTTCACACACAAGGACCAGAGAGTGGTGCATACATGGACCTCCCAATAGGTCGCTTGTAAGAGGAACTGAAATGAAACTATAGTATGCCTGATATGACTCAGCTAGAAATAAATAGAGAGCATGGCAACTCTACAGCAAAATACTGCTTTTAAAGCTTTTACATTTTATGTTCTCCAAAAAGACTCTGAAATGTTCTCCAAAAAGTTGGAAATGGTTTTTGTGCATCAGCTGACAAACACAGTTCTCCAAACCTGTCTCCTTCCATTATATAACAGAAGGAGCTTTGTCAAGAATATAGAAAACACTACTAGGTTTGTTTCACATTTTACTTATTATTATTTATTTGTTGAATTTCTAACCACCTCCTGGGCGGGTTACAACAGTAAAACCATACCAAATAATATAGAACAATGCCATAAAACTTTTCAAACATTAAAATGACAAGAAAACAACAATAAAAGCACAACCACTAGTATTCCAGATTCTATAAAAGACATATCCCCTTCTGTTAATAAAGTATTAAAAACTAGCTTAATTAAAATACCGGTGGAATAAAAAGTTATTCACTTGATGCCAAAAGGAATGCAGAGATGGCACCAGGCGAGTCTCTCTGGGGAGCTCACTCCAGAGTAGGGAATGCAAACCCATCCAGGACAGGCAAGATATCTCCCATCTGAATAGATGATACTCCCACCAACAGTATCTCCATCTTACCTGGATTAAGTTTTGGTTTATTAGTCCTCATCCAATCCATTATCAAGACCAGACCCCGATTCAGAACATCTACTGCCACACCTGAGTCAGATGAAAAAGAAAGGTAGAGCTGAGTGTCATCAGCATACTGATCAGCATTTTACATTACAGCAGCATTCCCAGGAAGGGCTACAGCTTATAAAGGAGAATTCTTCATTAAAATCTGAAGAGGAATTTCAGGTCTTCAGTAGGTATCTGAATAACATTACCAATCAAACCAAGAAGAGGAGAAGTGAACTGGAGAAGTTGGTCAAGCTATACGAATTTTATGAAACAGTAAGAGAGGTTTTTCTTTATACTTCTCTGTGTATTGTGTACACATCTAAATATTATATTCAGCACTGAATCTGCACTTCCTTCATGTTTGTACAATGATTTTGCATGCTTCATATATGCATTTCCATACAAATAGATTTGCTTATGCATATAACAGACAGTCCACTGCTATGTACTAGCTACAGAATAATTCATTGACCAAACTGAAAGCTTTGGAGTCCTTATTTTCAGAGGCAGGATTAGCCAGGTTGAAACTGGCTTCCCAGCTAAAGAACCTAACGTGTTACCTTAGAGAAATTGCTATGAGAATGTGCATATTCAACAAAAATGTGTACAGAAAACTTTGTATTAAGAGAAATATATTCAAAAAGGCATGGACATTTTCCATACAAAATTTAAGGAACAACTTTAGGAATGAAACTTAAGATTGGAAAAATAAGAAACAGAGTGAAATTGACAAATTTGTCCATCTGAGCACCAGACGCCTCTGCAATGACAAAGAATGATCAGGGTATAACTCCGTTATATCTAATGGGCTGGGTTTTGCTTGTCTTATGGACTGGGCAATTCTCGGTCCACTTCCCAGGAGAAAATCAGTTAGGCAGTATTATTTAGTTTCTTCTAGCGGGATGCGGTAGTGCAGTGGGTTAAACCGGTGAGACAGTGGGCTGGTTGATCAAAAAGTCGACAGTTTGAATCCGCAGACAGGGTGAGATCCCATACTCTGTCCCAGCTCCTGCAAACCTTGAAGTTCGAAAGCATACAAATGCAAGTAGATAAAAAAGTACTACTTGGGTGGGAAGGTTACAGCATTCCATGCACTTCGGTGTTTAGTCATGCTGGCCACATGGCCATGGAAACTGTCTGCAGACAAACGCTGGCTTCCTCAGCTAGGAAACGGAGATGAGCACCGCCCCCTAGAGTCAGAGATGACTGGACTTTAATGTCATGGGTAAACCTCTACCTTTTTATGCCAACTTTCAGGGCAAAGCCCTCTCAAAACAGCTCACAAAAGTTAATTGGCTTCATACTTTAGGTTTGTATGTACAAATGTACACTTTCAATCATTAGACTTTCAAATAAGATACTTGCAATCCAAACTCCCAGTTGTTTTGCTGTTATCCACCCTTCTCTAATGCATTTTATTATTGTGAGCCGCCCCAAAGCTTCGGCGAATGGGGCAGCATAGAAGCCTAAATAAATAAATAATAGAATTCCACTATGTCTATTGCAGCCTTTATGCAGGAAGCACAATTTCCAGCCTATGGACCTAATTTAGCTTATGTTGGAACCCAATCCTGCCAGTGCTGGAATCCAGTCCAGCCTACAGAGAGTCAAGCACCCTCTGCAAATACCACCACTTGCCCTTTCCAAGCACTCACCCAACCCCAAGAAAGAATTCCTATGCCATCTCTAATCAGAGACCAAAGGAGAAATGGAGATTCTGCCCACACCACTGAGCTGTGTTTTGTGTAAGTGCTGGCTGAATCCTTTCCCACCCCTGTTGCACCTTATTCTGAAAGCAAGGCGGGTGAGAAGGAGGCACTCAATCACTACTTGCAAGCTCCTACAAACATTAGCCAAGTTCCATGCTAAGTGTGCCTATCTCTCAGGGAGAAAAAGAAAGAAAAACTGGCCAACACGGCACCAATCACACTATAAGAGAGAAGGAGCCCCACCCACCAGGCCTACTCCCAAAGTGGTTGCTCCCAAACCTTATGGCCTTTCTTCGTCATGGCCTCTGTGCATCACACATATGGGTTCTGCGCCTGCACAGTGCCTTTGGCCGGAAGATTAACAGCTAACGGTTTTTGGCGGGAACTCCACTTCCCCTCCCCCCCAGCATTATATAAGGAGCGGAGTGTCCGCCATTTTCCAGTCTTTGTGACTGCCGTTCGTTGTGCCTAGTGCCGCTTCGCTCTCGCTCAGATTGTTATTTACCTTCTTGCTTGTTCGAAAATCTCCTTTTTTCTCTTACCAAGTTTTTATATCCCTTGTTCTTGTTGTTAGTATTTTACTTATATTTCTTTAAATTTACACCATTTTTTCTTCTTTATCATTCCTATAAAAAAAACAAAACCAAAAATATTACTTTCCCGCTTTACTATCTCCTTTTTTCTTCTTTCTACGATGGCGCAACGGGCGGCGTTCCGCAAGTGCGGAAAATGCGGTGCCAAAATGCCCGCCGCAGACCCGCATGATCTGTGCCTCCTTTGTTTGGGGGAAGGGCACAGAACCGATAAGTGCGGCCATTGTTTGGCCTTCTCTAAACAGGTGAGGAAGAACAGGGAGAACCGCCTCCGCAAACTCCTTTGGGATCAGGCTCTCCTCCAATCTGATCGGCTGGTGGCTAAGCCTTCCACTGTTGTGGCCCCACCCGAAGGCCGTCCAACTTCGGCTGACCTGCTGCAAAGTTCGGCCTCTTCCTCCATTGCTCCACCCTCACGCCCTTCTGAAGAAGGCGCTCATGCTATGGCCGATCAGTCTGTTTCCTTGCCAAAGAAGCAAAAGGAAAAGAGAAAGCACAGCGACTCAGATAAATATCCTGTGCAGAAGAAGGCCAAGAAAGATAAGACGGGCAAACCGGTTAAGAAGCCAAAGAATCCCGAGCAGGCAAAACACCGTCACTCGGGCTCGGCCTCTTCCTCGATTCCGATACCTACTTCGGAACCGACCCCCTCGGTCCTGACCATCCAGGTGGCTATGAGGGTCACCGCGCCGGCCGGCAGCCGAACCTGTTATGGATTCGAGGAGGGGTTCTATCTCTGATGGGGAAATACGAGACTCCTCACCTAGGCCTCGATCACCAACCCCGATGCCTCCGATCCCGATGGACACTGAGATCGCCATCTCCCCTCTGAGAAGCCGTAGAAGCCGTTCCTCGGATGCAAGGTCTGATGATTGGTACCACTCCAGGTACTCCTCTGCTCCGAGACGGGAAGAGTACCACTCTACAGCCTACTATCCAACCTCTAGGGGACAATCTTCACCACCAGCGCCTCGACAGCGTTTCCATTCAACACCCAGAGACGCCCCAAGGGCACCATCTAGAGAGAGTGGCAGATCGGAGTCCCCAGGAGATTCTTCCTCCAGTATACCGCCCCCCTACTGGATGGAATCCGAAGAGTCTGAGGCTGACTCAACCTCGCCAGATGCTGTAGTTGCTTCCCAGGGTCCGGGGTTGCCCAAGGAACCGTACATATCGTTTAACAATCTGATGGCCAGACTAGTGAGATTGCTCAATATAGAAGCCCACCAACAGCCGGGACCGAGCATCAATCGTTTTTATGATGTGGTTAGAGGTGAACGATCCACATCTATTGCCTTGCCGTTTATTACTACCTTACGGCAGGCAATGACTCAGCCATGGGACCTCCCAGCTAATCCACAACCGACCTCTCGTAAATACGAGTCCATGTATCGGGTGTGGGAAGAGGACATCCCATTTCTTCTCCGCCACCCCAAACCGAATTCGGTTGTTGTAGAATCCTCGCAGGGTCGGAAAGCCCGTGGACACACCTCACCTCATGACAAAGAGGATAGAAAGGTTGATTCTCTCGCCCGCCGAGTATACGCAGCTTCGGGCCTTGGTTTAAGAATCTCCAATTACGAGGCAACCCTGGCGCATTACCAGTATTTCCTGATGCAACACCTGGACGCCATCATCGATACTTTTCCGGGAAACCAGGGCGAACTTGCTAAGACTTTTGTTAAGGAAGCTATGCAAGTGGTGGTGCAACAGCTTTCTACCGCGAGACACCACGTGGACTCTGATTCGAGGTTGCTGGTTGGTTCAATTTCCCTCCGCAGGCACGCCTGGTTGCATAATTGCAATTTTCCGAATGAGATGAAGTGGAGAATTGAAGAGATGCCGTTCGACGGTTCCGGCCTCTTCCATGCAAGGACGGACAGCAAATTGAAGAAAATCCATGAATCAAGGATGACCGCACGTCGTATGGAATTGCAATCTCTACCCCGACGTAAATGGTCATAGTCACATCCACAGTACCGTCAACAGTTTCCACCTCGGCAGCAGTAACCGCATCAACGTCTGCAGTGTCACAGGCAACAGCCGCCACAGCGCTTCCAACAGGGCCGCCGCCGTTTCGATACGGACAGGCGACAGCGCTGATGTGACGAGCGAACCTCTCCTCTCATTCCAACTCCCCCCTCCCCCCTCTCATTTGGGGATCGACTGAAGAGTCGACTCTCCATTTGGGAGTCCATCACATTTGATGGATGGGTGTTATCTATCATCCCGCACGGATATGGAATCGAATTCGACGTTGTACCATCACTGAATCCTATTCGATATACTCCGACTTCTTTGGTACTGTTAGACGAGATTCACCAACTCCTCGCTAAAGGAGCTATTCGTCGCCTGTCGTTATCGGAAGGATTCCATGGATTCTATTCCAGATACTTTACAGTTCCGAAACGAGATGGGGGTCTAAGACCAATATTGGACTTGAGAGCTCTCAATAGATTTATAACACCAAAGAAGTTTCGGATGACTACACTTCAAAGAATTCTTCCGTTGTTGGGAAGAGGGGATTGGTTCGCCTCATTGGATCTGAAGGATGCCTATTTTCGTATTTCAATACATCCAAGTTATAGGTGTTTCCTTCGTTTTGCTGTGGACTCTGAAATCTACGAATTCAATGTGCTACCATTTGGATTGGCCACTGCACCAAGAGTTTTTATGAAGTGTATGGCCCCTGTCTGTGCACACCTTCGATTACGTGGAATTCGGATATACCCGTACCTTGATGATTGGTTGCTGGTTGCTGACACAGAAGCAGGACTTTCATCTGCTGTTGAGTTTACATGTGCTCTATTGCATGATCTCGGACTCTGTATTAATCGACGGAAATCTTCCCTTCTCCCTACGCAGGTGATCAACTTTATCGGAGCCCGACTAGATTCGACATTGGCAAGAGCCTTCCTTCCTCGGGACAGACGACATGCAATTGCTCATTGCATCGCTCGGATTCGACAAGAACTGCTCCCGCCCGGTCTATTCAGAGTCTGTTGGGTCACATGTCTGCTTCCATTGCTGTGGTTCCACACACCAAACTCAGGCTACGTCCCCTTCAACTGTTCTTCAACGGGGTGTTTCGACCACAGATGGACCCCCCTACCAAACGGATTCGACTCCCGGCTTCTGTCCTTCAGTCCCTGTTATGGTGGATAGACCCAGCCAATCTAACCGTAGGTGTTCCATTCCGACCCCGGTACCTTACAATAACCCTCGGTACCGATGCGTCTCTACTGGGATGGGGAGCAATCTGTTCCGATTTACGTACCCAAGGGATATAGAGTCAGCGGGATTGCAGGAACCATATCAATTTCCTGGAACTTCTTGCCGTTTTCAAAGCCCTTCAATCATTCGAGGATGTGCTTCTGCACCAGGTCGTCCAGGTGACCTCGGACAACATGGTGACAGTCTTTTATTTAAACAAACAAGGGGGAACCCGATCCCGGAAACTAGCCCGCCTGGCCATGCAGATTTGGGACTGGTGCATACCGAGAGGTATCACTCTTGTAGCAGTTCACCTAGCGGGCACGGAAAATACAGACGCCGATCTCTTGAGCAGACATATGTCGCGGTCCCACGAATGGGAATGCGGGCATGCACGGCATATTGTTCCAGAGCGGGAGTGGGTCAGGACTCCCTCGGGGACACTTTCATGATTCCCTGGACAAACATGACTTTTTATGCTTTCCCTCTGATCCCACTCATCATGAGAGTGTTGGCAAAGATCATTCACGAAGGGGCCACAGGGATACTGATCACCCCCTGGTGGCCACGCCAACAATGGTTCTCAACTCTCCTTCACGTCTCCAGAGAAGAGTTTCTCCAACTCCCTCTTCTTCCTTATCTCATTACCCAGAGGGAGGGCGCAATCCGTCACCCAGATTTGCTATCGCTGAAACTGACTGCATGGAGGATACAGTGATCGCCTCTGATACAACGGTATCGACACCACAAACTGTTCCAACTATTCCTGCTCAGCAGAGTCTACACCCAGATCTACAGTATATCCTCGAATCTGCGCTATGACCATCTACTAGGAAGTCATACGTGGCAAAATGGCAGAGATTCTCTAACTTTGCCAATTTACACTCTTTTCTGGCCCCTTCAGCTTCTGTTTCACAGATACTTCAGTTTCTCTTTGAATTGCATCAGTCTGGACTCAAACCCTCATCCATAAAGGTTTATACAGCAGCAATTTCACATTATCGAGGAACTATACATGGCCTCTCCATCTTTGCTCAACCTCTGATTAAAAGATTTTTAAGAGGATTGAGTAATCTACATCCAACTATAAGACCTCTAATGCCCACCTGGAGTCTCTCAGTGGTTTTACAAGCACTGACTCGACCACCTTTCGAACCCATGGCGACGATCGATCTACGCCTTGCTTCATGGAAGACGGCCTTCCTTGTTGCAGTAACTTCAGCCTGTAGATCATCTGAACTCTGCGCCCTTTGGGTAGACCCCCCCTTCCTAAATTTTCATAAGGAAAAGGTGGTTCTTCGAATGGGTCCGTCTTTCCTTCCGAAGGTCGCTACTTAGTTTCACATGCAACAGGAGATTGTTTTACCGGCATTCTTTCTGACCCCTTCGAATCCAATAGAACGATCTCTGCATATGCTGGACGTTCGTCGTTGCTTAGCTTTTTATAGGTCCAGGACTGAGTCTGTTCGGCGTTCCAATAGACTTTTTGTGAAATATTCAGAACATGATTGGGGTTGCCCAGTCACAACGTCTTTCGAAATGGATAGTAAATACAATTGTCCTATCTTATCAGTTGGCTAAGTTGGACTTACCATCTACTCCAAGAGGCCATTCTACAAGAGCTGTCGCTGCTTCTTCGGCCTTTGCATCAAGAGTCTCGATAGAAGACGTGTGCAGAGCGGCCATTTGGGCTACTCCGTGTACCTTCGCCAGACATTATAGACTCGATGTCCGTGCCAGACAGGATTGCTCTTTTGGCAGAGCTGTTCTTTCTTCCGTCCTTTGTTGATGACACCTCCCTCCTCCATTTTGGGTAAGCTTGTTATTCTACCCATATGTGTGATGCACAGGGGCCACGACGAAGAAGAACAGGTTGCTTACCTGTAACTGATGTTCTTCGAGTGGCCATCTGTGCAGTCACACAACCCACCCTCCGATCCCGCTTGGTGTCATGGGTGGTCCGACTATTTTCTGCGATACTATGATAGCTTTTTCCTATGTGTCATACCACTACTAAATTTGGATTTCTTGTCATTCTGACAAACCTTTTATTATGCAACAAACGCCGGTCTTTCAAAGACTGGAAAATGGCGGACACTCCGCTCCTTATATAATGTTGTGGGGGAGGGGGAGCGGAGTTCCCACCAAAAACCGTTAGCTGTTAATCTTCCGGCCAAAGGCACTGCGCAGGCGCAGAACTCATATGTGTGACTGCACAGATGGCCACTCGAAGAACATCAGTTACAGGTAAGCAACCTGTTTTTCCTGTCCTGGCTCCACCATCTTTCTGACTAGTACAATGCCTCTAACCATGAAACATTCTGGTGACTGAAAGACTTTGGGATTTGAGAAGTACTCCCTTTTAGGTATGCTTTAAAAGCCCTTCAGACTTCCATGACAGTACATAGTAGGTCCAGAGAGGTCTGCCTGGCGCCGTCATTAATTGCTTTTAGGCACCAGGCCAAGACTTTTTTCTTTAAACACTATTTTAATTGTTAAGGTTTATTTATTGATTTTAAACTGACAAGGCTGTTTCCACTATTTTATGTATTTTATGTATGCTATGTATTTATATGCAGGATTTTAATGATTGCAAGCCTCCCCAAGGCTTATGCGAAGGGGGTGGCATATAAGCTGTCTAAATAAAAATATAAATAAATAAATAGTAATTCAGCAGGTCATGGAAATGAATCTAAGCTCAGTGGACAGCATGTCTCTTCTTTCCTATTTGGTGGCCACATCAATGTGAACTGGAGTGAGAGGGATTCTAAACTGGAGCTGTATCACAACACACTGGCTAGAGGAGTGCTAGCTAGGCCATAAGAAGTGTTACAACTGCTAACAGAGCCAGGCCTTGCCCAAAGCACAGCCTTGGAACCTTTACTCTCAGCCTAACCTTCCTCACAAGTTTGTTGGGTAAATAAAATGGAGAGGAGATAGCCTTTTAAGCTGCATTGGGTGCCCCACACAAGGTAAGATGGTGGGATATAAATATAATAACAAATAATTCATTTATGATCACTTACTGAAGTACAACTTCTGTCACCATTTTCCCCTCATTGCCAGAATGTACCAGAACATAGAGAGGAAACTATCAATATCGAAGTTTGCTTTCCCACCCTGATATCTTCCACTTATTATGTGACTAAAGATGCTGTTCTATGTAAGATTAGATAGGAAAAAAGTTTGTAATTCCCAACATGCCCCAGCCAGCTATGCTGATGCATGCTAGGAACTTTAGGCCTTTTTTCCTACCTAGATTTGCATAGGATTGTGCCTTAGGTCACCTTTGCCACAGAAGCAGTAAAAGAACTACTTTAATGTTAATTTCAGCCAGGGCTTGCTTGACACCTTCAATATTTAGTTTGTGTTTATCTGTGATGGTGGTAGGAGCACTAACCCTTTCTTTATTGGGTCTCTCTCTACATAAGAATGACTTTGAATAGTGCAGTTCTACCCTAATTCCAGTATTCACAGGGCATGTAAAATGTAGATCTTTGTTAGCTAATTAGTTAGCTAATTTTCCACACTACCAGTGGAAACCCTTTTGTAAATTTTTGTGGGTTTTTAAAATATTGGGTAAAATTTGTCTTCCTTCATGAGCTGCTGCATATGCCCACAGATAGATTATAAATGTTAACGGTTAAATATATAGTACCCTTTGTTTAACTGGTCTCTCTCCCTCCCTCTTTACTTATCATTCAGACTCAGCAGTGGCTGATTCAATGTAATGAGTTTCTTGAGCAACTGTCAGCAGAGGCCAACTATTCTCAATCTGCAGTTCATATTTTGCAAAAGTACCACCAAGAAGCTGCAAAAGTTTCTGCAGAAAACTTCCAGAAAGCCACTGAGATTATAAATGCTCTAGGTAACAAAGAGATTGAACTGAAGCAATGGAATATTTTATGGCTCAAATGTCAGCAGACCAGGCAGCATTTACAAGAGGAGCTTTCAAAAGTGGTGAAAGGTTCCAGCAAAGAAGGAACTCACAGTACTCTCAAGGAGATTGGCTGGAGAAGTAGCCATTATCTGGGCAGCAAATCTGGAAAACAATATGGACATTCATCTAGCTGTTGTTCTAGCACTGATGATGCTAACCTTTGGAATAATTATACATTTCAATGTGGCAGCTTGCCAGTAGCTACTTTGTCTTTTTTGGTTAAGGAAGATACCACTCAAAGCATAGATAAGAGCTCTTCCATTAAACCTTCAGTGTCACAGACTCTTACTCCTCTGTTGAATAGGTTTCAGAGGACTACCCATGTTTCAGAGGACTTGGACAACATTTCTACCTGCTACTCAGAGCCAATCCAGGCATCCACCACCCGCCACAGGAAGCACCCACTCAAGAAGATTATGAAGAAGACACAAAGCTTTGAATTGACTCGACATGAAAGCGATCACTGTGAACTGCATCACCATGGATATACTGGAGTTTATATAAGAGGACTGGAGGTAGCCAGTAATGTTGCTGCAGAGAAGAGAAACACGCAGCGTTCAAATATTAGAAGTCCTTTGGTTTCTAGAAATCACAGTTTATCATCTCCATCAAGAATCCACCACACAGAGAATGAAGAAGAGAAGAAAAGAGGGGGAAGGTGAGAAATGACAACAAGGGAATGCATTTTGGTGAACAAACAACAGCCTGAAAAGTGCTGTAAAGATTTAAGTATACTCTCAGTTTTGGGTTGCTAGATAATTTAGTCTATGTACTGTCTTGCTTTTAACCACTCAAACTGATTAAAAATAAATACTATGCAATCACAGTACAGGTCATGTTTTGAGGGTCTTTAATTCATTTCACAAACAAAAGGGAACAAATGTAATATTATTTGTGATACTCAACTCTGCACTGAGCAACATATTAGGGGATAATCATCACTATCATCTTAATATTAATATACTGTATCATTTACCTCAATATTAGTGTAATATTTGGTTCTATAGAAACTGTGGGGCAGCTAGCATCAGTCTAAATTCATATTTGTGAATTAAATACACAGTTTTCAGAGCTTTATTCTCAGAGCCAATAAATTAAAAGAAAACATCATCTCGTTTAAAAGATTGCTGTTAGGTAGTTCTAGGTCCATAATTCAGTGCTACAAGTACATTGTACATTACAGGGCAGCATGTGTTTTCCCATGGAGATCCTCTGAAGGCCATGGCTTTCCCATTCATTTTTGAGGGGTAGTGTTCCTTCTACTAAAGTGAATGGGAATGACTATATGTGCAGGAGCACCATACATACAAGGGGTTCTGAGTTTGTGGCCAATGAACAGTGCAATTGTTCCTCTGAACCACATTGAAATCTGAGAGCAATGAAAGATTCATTAGTAGCCTCTGGTGGTGTTCATGGTTGTAAATATTAAAAGATGTAAAGTTTGAAGCACAGATTTATAATGTATGAACAATGATAGTTGATCACATCAGCTGATATTCTATCACATTAAACCTATCAGAATTTTAAAGAAGGATTGAGTAAGTACTCGCATGTAGATATCAGTGCTTGGACTTCACAAGAACAAAGAGAGAAGGGTGTACTGAAAGGGATGGCCTATTGCTTCTGACAGGCAGGTCAATGCCCACCCACCTGCCAGAGCCTCCCCTCTCCCCAGCAGTAGCAGAATTACTTATCTGTTCTCCCAAGGCAGTAACACAGAAACATAGAAACAGAGTCAGAAGGGGCTTCCTGGGTCATCTAGTCTGACCCCTGGCTCTAGCTGGCTCCATTCATTACATGCCTACCATGTGCATGTCTAGCCTATCCTTGAACACCCTCACTGATGGGACCTCAACCATCTCCCATGGAAGCCCATTCCATACCCACAGGGTCCTAACTGTCAGAAAGTACTTCCTGGCATCCAAATTGAGCCTTGGTTCCCTGAGCTTTGCTCCGTTGGAGCACGTCCTGCCCTCCTCTGCAGGGGAGAACAGGTCTCTACCCACCTCTGGGCAGAGGTAGACACCCCCTCACATACCTGTATGTCGCCAACAGATCCTCTCTCAGTCTCCTCCAGGCTGAAGAGACCCAGTTCCCTCAGTCTTGCCTCATACAGCATCCCCTGCAAACCGGTCACCACCCTTGTGGCCTTACGCTGCACTGACTCTAACCTGGCTATATCCTTACTGTAATGAGGGGTCCAAAACTGAGCACAATACTCCAGTTGCGGGCGCACCAGAGTCATATAGAGTGGTAGTAATACCTCTCTCAATCTAGAAGCCGCACTTCTGGCTATGCAACCAAGGGTAGCGTTCACCCTCTTGACCACCGCATCACACTGCTGACTCATGTTTAGCCTACAGTCAACCAGTACCCCGAGATGCCTTTCACAAGTGCTGCTCTCCAGCCACTTGTCCCCTAACCTGTACTTATGACACCATTCCTATGCCCCAAGTGCAAGAGCTTGCACTTATCCACAGAACACATCCTGTTGTCTCCTGCCCATTTCCATAGTCTGTCCAGATCCTTTTGGATCTGGAGTACTTGCTCCTCAGTTGTGGCCACTACCCTGGTTTTAGTATCATCTGCCAATTTGATCAGCAGACTGTTCACCCCTTCTTCCATTTCATTGATGAAAAGATTGAACAGGACCGGCCCCAGGACAGAGTCCTGGGGGACACCGCTTGTTACTGGCCGCCATCCTGATGATTTCCCACTAATGGTTACCCTCTGCTTTCGGTCAGTCAAGTCATCCAGGGGTCCTCAAACTTTTTAAACAGGGGGCCAATTCACTGTCCCTCAGACCATTGAGGGGTCAGACTATACTTTGAAAAAAATAAGAACAAATTCCTATGCACACTGCACATTAAAATTAATTAAAATAAAGTAAAAATAAATTAAAATTAAAATTAATTAAACATTAATTAAAAATTAATTAACAAATTAAAAATGTTTGCTCCACTCGCTTGGGCTGCAGCAGAAACCCAAGATGAGGTGAGGAAGAGCATGTCCATAGTCAAGGGACATATCTACAATGCCCGCAATCATGCTGGGGGCAGTGGGGAAGACGGACGTGGTTGTGCTCGTGCAGGAAAGGCAGATGAGATCTCCCCCTCCCCGAGCGCACCTGCGATCACGGCCATCTTCCCTCCCCTCAGCACAACTGCAATCATGCCTGTCTTCCCTGTGCGAGCGCGAGCGCTGCCATCTCCCCACTGAGTAGGCCTGCGCCGGCTCAAAGCTTTTGGACTCGCTTGGAGATTGTTTTTTCCAAGTGAGTCCAAAAGCTCTGAGGTGGGTCGGATAAAGGAGCATGGCTGGCCAGATACAGCCTGTGGGCCGTAGTTTGAGGATCCATGCCCTAATCCATTGGACATAGCATTGGTCTATCTCAAAAATCCTCAATTTCTCAACCCTGATATCATGGGGCACTTTGTCAAAAGCCTTGCTGAAATCCAGGTAAATCATATGCACTGTGTCCCCTCCATCTAGCCACCTTGAACCCTTGTCATAGAATTTCACAAGGTTTGTCTGCCAGGATCAATTTTAGCAGAAGCAATGTTGTGTGGTCAAAAACCACCCTTTCCTATTTAGGGTTACTAGATCTCTCACTTTTATGAGCCTTTCCATTGTCTTTCTTACAATGGACATAAGGCCAACCAATCTGTAATTTCCCATGTCCCTTCTACTACACTTTTTGAAAATTGGGACCCCTGCCACCCTCCAGTCCTCTGGAAGTTCACCCATTCTCCACGAGGCCTCAAAAATCGAGGCCAGTGGGCATGAGAGAACCCATGTCAACTCTTGAAGTACTCTCAGGTGTAACCTGTCAGGACCCGGCACCTTTGAACCCTCCAGTGCCCTGAAAAGCTCCTCGAATTCTAGGGGGGTGACTCTAATCTGTGCCCCTAAGTCCCCAGCCTCATCTAATATCCCATGCGGATCTCCCCCATCCTGCTTTGGGGAGAACACAGAGGCAAAATAGTCATTTAGCATCTGTGCCTGTTCCCTCTTATCAGTCCTGGATCCCCTTCCTCCTTATTAAGCAGTCCCACTACCTATCTCCCATTCCTCTTGCTATTTACATGCTGATAGAAGCCCTTTTGGTTGCTCTTGATATTCTTTGCAAGTCTCAGCTCGTAATGAGCCTTAGCCTTGCAAAGAATCCTTCTGCAATGGGCCGCCTCCTCCTGGTACACCCTTTTGTCTATTTGCCCCAGTACCTATTTCCTACAAAGGTTCCTCTTGCATCTAATCCCTCTTAGGACTTCCTTTTCCATCCATGATGACACTCTCCTTCTCCCTGCCTTACTAACTAGAGGTATTGCTAAGGCGTGCACCTCCAAAATCTCCCTTTTGAATGCCATCCACCCCTCCTGAACTCCCTTGCCTTCCAGGAGACTTTCCCCAGTTTGGCCTTCAATTGACCAAAGTTGACTGTCATGAAGTCCCAGCTTCTAGCGCTCAACCTGCTGCACGTCCCCATTGCCCTGATCTCAGAGCAAAGGATGGAGTGATCACTTGTATCCATAGCTCCCCTAATCTGTACCTCATCTATCTGCTCCTCCCTGTTGGTCAAAACCCAGTCAAGGATGTTTCCCCCCCTCGTCACCTCTCAGACCCTCTGTGTGAAAACCCTCCCTCTATAGTGTCTAGGAAGCAACATGAACTGGCTGTCACTGCTGAGTGAGTCTCCCAGCTAATATCTGGGAGATTGAAATCTTCCATAATTACTGTGTCCCTCCCCCAAGATATACTTAGAACAGAGGTCCTCAAACTTTTTTAACAGGGGGTCAGTTGAAAGGTGGCGGTGGTGCATGTGGACTGGTGAGGTGGCAGCGTGTGCAGCGGGGCGGCAGTGGGCATGGGTGTGGCGGTGGGCACAGGACCGCAAGGCGACGGTGACAGGAGCGGGACCAGCTGCCCCTGACCTGGCTACCCCTGAGCTCACATAAAGTGGGGGGGGGGGAATGGGCATGGTGGGCCGGATTTGGCCCATGGGCCGTAGTTTGAAAACCCATGCCTTAGAATCTGATCTGTCAGGACATCGTCCAGGGTCTCAAGTTGACCTGGAGGGCAATAACATACCCCCATTGTCAGGTCCCTCTCCCTGTCAAAACCCCTAAGTTTCACTCAGACTGCCTCTACCAAATCCCCCTCTGTGCTGCATTCTATCTCACTGCATCCTATCCATTCCCTGACATATAAAGCTATGCCCCCGCCCCTCTTTCCCTTCCTGTCCTTTCTAAACAGGTGATACCCCTCTATGTTTACATTCCAATCTTGCCTTTCATCCTACCAAGTTTCTGTGATCCCCACTAGGTCATACCCTCCTATTCCCAGGAGAGCTTCAAGTTCTTCCTGCTTATTATCCCTGCTCCTAGCATTGGTGTACATGCACCTCACTCCTTCCCACAGCTTCCTTTCTTTGGGATCCCCAGCCTTCTCCTTCCTCCCATCTTCCCTGATACCTGGCCTCTCTCTGTGGAAGCCCTGTCCCTGTAGTACCTCTAATACCCTGCTCCCAGAGCCCTGATCCTCCCCCCTCACTTGTCCAATCAGGACAAGTTTCTGGGGGGCCTGACCCCCCTTCCCCCGGGCTCAATGTAAAGTCTTCTGGACAAAGCTCGCTAGAGCATTTCCAAAGGACCTTTTCCC